CCCCGGCCACCCGACTGGACTGGACTTGACGATGAACAGTGCTCTTGTCTTGGTGCTGGCGCTGGTGTTGGTGCTGATGCCATGCAGGAGCCCGGCCTGGTCTTGTCTCTTCCCCAAGAGAGTAGCTGCCGCGGTCCGGTCTTGAGGGTCTTTGCTGTTCCCGCAGCCTGCGGGCCTTTGGGGGCTGGCTGGTGCTGGTGTTGGCGTTGGTGCTGGGGGGCGTTTGGTCTGAGTGTTTGTCAGATGGGCCTTCCCTTGATGCCCGTGATGGGATGTGTGTGATGTGATGGCTGGGGTAGACGGGCAAGCAGGAAGGATTTCGGAGAAGGCTGACCTGTCTTGTCTTCTTCGCTTTTGCTCGTGCGCTTGCATGGCATAGGCCGTGTGACTTTTTCGTTCGAAGGAGGGAAGCGGCAGTCAGCGGCGGCCGCTTGACGGAGCGTACATGCCAGGTTTGATCATCTGATTTTGGGTTTTTTCTCCATTTCACGATGGGGTTGACGACGACGCGCAAGGGGGCTGGCTGGTGGGTGGATGGAGGGTGGATGGATGGATGGCTAGATGGCTGGATGGTATGTACGGAGTGAAGGAGGCAGCAGTAGCAGAAATGCAGGATCCGCTGGAGGTTGCCCTTGTTTGGACTGTTGGGATCTCGTCACATTACAGACGCGAAGCACGAAAGCAAGTTTTCGATGCAAAGAGAGACTTTCGTACGATGAGTTGCTTTCCTGAATTGGGAGGCCTGGGCCTGGACTCGGGACTTGGCCGTGTGCTGGATGCTCTGAGGATAGGAGATGATATTCCGAGATTGCCCAATCACCCGCTCATTCGTGCGCCTTTTCGAAGAAAGATGTTCGTATTGAGAAAGAGAGAGGGTGTTGACCCTGGACCCCCTTGTCCGGTGCCCTGCTCATTACATGCCCGTGTGACGGCGTGTTATTTCTTTTCACGAGAATTGCCTGAGCGGCGGTTCGTCGGTCTTCTGACTTGCGTGATAAAGGGGGGGGCTTGGCTTGGTCCTGTGGGCGACAGAGGTTACGAAGCACGAGAGAGAGTCAAATCAAAGCTTTGCAGAATTGAATCACAGGGCAAAGAAGGATGAAGGTTTCGTAGATCTGGTGTGTTCGTTGTGGATGCGTGGGAATGTGATTGTGATGTGAACCCTGCGTGCATGTCACGATTGGTGATTGCAATGTCCAGGCTATGCAGTTCAGCTTCTCATCTGGGTTTAACCTGCGAGGATGTAGGGGCAGGAATAATTCGCAAAAACAGAGTTTGAAAAACGGGCTCGCCGAGATGTCCAATGAGTGAGGTTATGTGCCTGGAGAGATCAACACGAAGGATGAACGAACTACGTGGATGAAGATCCGACCATTCTCTTCGTCCCGCGGCATCTCATGTCGTTTTTGGCTCCCGGGAGGCCGCCTCCTGTCCGCCGTTCTTGATCTCCACGTGGGTGCGCGAGCCGGTTCGTGGTTCGTAGAGACAAACTTGATGTTTGTATGGATTTGTGTGGGTTTGGTTGCTTGCTCCGGGAGAGGTGATTCGGTGAAGGGAGCGATGGAGGGGAGGGAAGAATGGTAGGTGGCGTCTAGGAGACAGATCCGTTGAGCGAGCCGTTCGAATGTCCGTCATTTTGAGATCGCGAAGCTATCCAAGGCCGCGCCGCCAGTAACGTCCTCCGCTGTGGAAGCTACCATTTCTCCCCGTAGTTTAGAATCGCGGCGCGCCGGTGATCTTGATCTTTCATGCGCTTGCGGAGAATTTACTCTTGGTTTCGACGGCGTGCGATGTCGAGCATGAACTTTTCGACGGCGTTGGCTTATGGACCTAGAAGCTTTAGAAGGGGGCCAAAAAAAAACCTGGAGTAGACGGCGGCTGATGATGTGAATGGAGATTGTCTGCCTTGCGTGAATGTATTCGTGTTGAGCGCCTGGAAGGAAACATCTTCACTTCCCTGGAGGATATGATGTCCAAGAAGACTCAGTGGTTACGGAGAGAGAGGGAGGGTTTCTCAGGTCCCCCTGACTTGTTGTGATCCATCTATCCATTTGGTTACGAGCTCACCTATTTGTTTCTTCGGAGCTGTGAAGCCGCTGTAAGATCATGTACGAGCACCACTTTCCAACTGTTCGGCGCGACTACACGAAAGACCACGAATACTTTGGTATGATCGAGGAGACTCACAATATAGAAAGAGAGTCTCGATTTCACAAATGACCTTAGAGAGTGTAACATCACTTACAGTTGTGCTTCTTGAAGAAGGGCCATATACAAAGCTAAGTAGAGTGCAGTGCAGAGACCAAAGTTTCCCATCTGTGATCTTGCAAAGTACTCATCTCGTATTCATCGTGGTTACATCTGAAGAAGGAGTCTCGCAGTTCAGAAGGCCTCTAGACGTGGCTATTGGCGATTTTGGTGTTTCTCTTCATATTCAATCCGTGAGTGCAATCGCCAATTCGTATTGAAGTAGTGGATTCCAAACCCCTTCCCGTCAAGACGTGATTTGTCCAACTGGTTGATGTGGTACTGAAGTCGGTTTACCCTGCTTTCGTATCATCTTCTCATACGTGCGGAGGGCGAAGAAAAGCCAACTTGAGCCCGCTGGAACAGGATTAGGATATCACGACAAGAGTATGTGTTTACGGCCTTCGCATTCTCTGTCAATGCGAGCAGAGGGATCAGTTGAGACGACGACATGGAAAGAACAGTCTATGACCTCTATGAAATTAGGGGTTGCTATCGTACGAACATGGAGGCCTCTGCTGAAAACTTTTGTTCGAAGAATGGTATCTCAGAATGACTTCTCGTATGACAGGAGACCACATCCATCGAATCAACTTCGGTATCAACGGAGTTCTGTCTAGATCTTAACAGAGGGATGCAACAGCCTTCCTTTCCATATATCTCATGTGTTACACGGCATCTTTGACAGAAACACTGGTCTTTATCAGCCCGATGCCTCCAGTATGCCGGGCTGAAAACACGCGGAAGGATGGATTCAGAAGGACCACCTACAGCGTGTAATAGTGTTTAGGCTCTCGATGGTATTACCTACAAGTCACCCAGAGAGCAGTGCTCCAATCTCCCACTCACTCACGCGCCGGGCCATGAATCGGCCATGGCTGCAGTGCGCACACATCGTATTTGGCACTCAACCTTCAGGGGACAGCACTGAATCTTCAAATGAGCTGACGAGGCAGCCTATGTCTAGTCCCAGCGACAAGTAATTGGCCACATATACAGCAGTCACGGCTGTTAACATCATTCTACCCTATTTTATATACACGAGACTCTAGTCTCTGGTCAATAGCAAGGTTTGACTGTAGACTTTGAAGTATGTAGTCGTCTGGTAACATATTACACCGGATGCGCAAGCTATCGAGTTGACTGTTACTTTGGCACGGATTAGGGAAACATGCTCGTCCCAGATACATATGAAAGAGCCCGCCTGATTTGATCATCAGACTGCCACAAGTGTTAAAGCTTTCGCCCTAATACCAAGTAAACCCTCCACGCGAAGGGGAAATCCTGCTGCAATGCCGCCTTTGGAAAGGGGAAGCGTCTCTGTTAATACACTACATATAATTCGTACTACACTGCATACAATCTCAGCACATCCAAAGCACTATTTCTGGTCTTCATATATCACGAAACATGTCGCCGTGTGAGGCTTTGAATGTATCAAGAAAAGCGCCCAAGGCTTGGTGTCAACAATCATAATAACTTTCTTCTGATGAGATTATGAACTGTTTCTGCACACACTCAAGTGATCATTGAATTCTCTACCATAGTTTCTATACCAAACAAGTCCAAGTCGTTATCTGTGATGTCCATGCTACACATATCAGGTCTGCAGCAAAAGAGACGATAAAGCGTCGAGATCAGAACCCAAACACACTCTCCGTCAGATTCCACTTTCTAACAACTCCTATAGCCTTCAACCACTCGCAACCCATTCTCCGAATCTTCGATACACGTAGAAACGTCGTCACCGACCCATCCGTCAGCGCCGGAGGTCCCACCGAACCCTCCGAAGAGCCCCGCGACTCGCCCCTCCGAGGACCCCCCATCATCGTGGCCCTCCCTGACTTAGGGCAAAATCCACACGGCATCACACATCCAACAATCAAATCCGCTTCAGGATGGGGTCGGTTAGCTCAGTTGGTTAGAGCGTGGTACTAATATTTCACCAGGAAATGTTGTGTAAATGCCAAGGCCGGGAGTTCAAGCCTCCCACTGATCAGTGTTCTCTTTTGCTGGTGATGAGAAGTGTGTCGGTGGTAGAGATGTATGGATAATTTGATTCTTTTGAAGTTTTGAAAGGTCTTGTGAGAAGGGAGTATCGAATGATGGGGGAGGTTATGGACTGATAGGGGTGGCGTTGAGGTAGGCGAGATCTTTGGCTGCTTGATCATTCGAGGGCGAGGTGTCTTGCCTCCGGCTTGTGGGATATCTTGCCGGCGATGGCTATCCTGTCGCCGCACGCAAAAGGCGTCGGCTATTGATGTTATCCCCGAGGGCCGCAGTCTAGATGCAAAAAACGAGAAGAATCACGTTTGAAGTCGAAAATAGTTCTGTCCGAGCTCGGCATGTGAACCGATGTGCGCATGACGAGTTCTCGAGGGTATCCAGCCAAATAGCTTACTAGAAAGGCTCGTCTGCGAATTTATTGCAATCAGACAAGATCATATTGTGTGAAACACCTCCAAGAGTCGCCTCCTACATCTGTCTCTGGTGTTGAGGCATGAAATCAAAAAGATCAACTGCCTAAAATGAAGAGTCATCGTTACTCAAGTAACACTACAGATGGTAAGCTTAGGCATCTCAGCCAAGATACTCTCAGCCTAGCCCTTGGAATTCTCGAGTATAGGAAACTTCATTATGCTGCCAACCGCGAGGCTGAAAAAGTATATTTATCATTAATCAGTGACGCTGCCAGTTGAACCCCTTTCGCTCCCCCTATACCCACGAAATCCTCATGTTGAAGCGGGAGAATCTCATGAACTGTTCTGCTGCTGCTCCACAGCCTCCTCCTCCTGCAGTCCCGAGTACCGCAGATATAGCCGGTCTCTAAAGTGTTGGTGGCGAATCCCATTAGGCCTCGCCTCCTTGAACGTCTCGATTGCGTCCTTGACCGACATCCCACATCGGTCGACCAGATAACACACGATAAAATAGCCAGTGCGGTTGAAGCCATAGTGGCAGTGGACGCCAATGACCTGCGTCTGGCCGTCCACTTCGGCCCACTTCTCCTCCTCGGCCCTCGCCTTCTGCTGCTCTCGCAACTTGTCCACGAGGGCAATGAAGTGGGCCACCTCCGAGTCCTTTGGCGGTATCTTTGATACCGTTGCAAACTTGTGATATCGTACGCCGCCCTTTTCCATGCTCCGTGGGTCGTACACCGGCTTGTCGTGACTGATGTCAATCACGTCCTTGATGATTCCTCCCCAGTTCTTGACAAACTCGGCGGGACAGTGCGTGTCGTCTGCTTCTCGCAGAGTCTTCATCGCTCTGAAGACTGGCGGGCTGCCTGCTGGACCGATTGGGTGCGAGACCGGGGTAACGCCCTTCCACTTGGCCAGGTTCTTCACATCCCACTTGCCTTCCCGTGAGAGATACTGTAGTTGCCAGCCGAGGGATAGACGACCAGTGACATGATTGGCAAGGAAGTCGGAGATGAGACCAGCCAGAATTCTGACTGTAGCAGGCATGAATAGAAGCGCGTGATTGGCAGGTGCAGGCATAATGATAGACCTGACGACCTTGGTAGGATGCCGGGGCTGAGGCGGGACGTTTGCCGGCGACTCTTGCGGTGTCGACGGATCTTCGAGAGCGTTGTCGGCATCTTCGTTGACTTTACGATCTCGATGGAAGTCCTCGTCTCGAATATCATCTATACTCTCGGGCCCGTGGTCCGTCGGAATCTTTGATGTGTTGACTGGTGCCGCCGCGTCGACAATGGTTTCATGCCCGTCGTCCGACCCAGTCTCGGGTGATAGAGGCGCCTTGCCTGAGAGATAGTCCCTGATCTTGTCCACCTCCTCAGGCTTCGTGAGCTTATCCTCTTTTCCGCCAACAAGATAGACCGGAACATCAATGCCGGTCCACACGTCCTTGCCAGGTACGCCACCCTTCGCAACTCCATCTTCATAGTTTGGAAGCGATCCCCAGGCCATTCTGCGCCAGACGGGCGTCCTGCTTTGGTTGTTGAAGCGATCCTGGAGCTTGCGAAGCTCGAGATCAGCACCAGGGCCGACGAATCGACTGACGCTGGCACTTTGCGGGCCTCCCCACCGATCGTAAGCCCTCCACAAGTCAAAGATCCAGCCGGGTACCCAAAGTAGCCTTCGAAACAGCGTCGTCTTGTCTTCTGTGGGTGGGCCGGCTACGGGACAGATGGCGACCAGTCCGACAACGTACTTGCGAAGGTCCGTCTTGTGCGGCGCATTGCGACTCGCCAGCTGCGCGCACATGGTAGTCCCCATACTGTGGCCGATGAGTACGACGCTGCGGTCGGGCTCCTTCTGACGATACTCATCGATGATGACCTCCAGCAGCTCACACAGCGCTTCCGGAGTATAGGCGTCCCATGCTTGCTGGGTGAACTCTGAGCGGCCGCAGCCGGGCAAGTCGATGGCCAGGCAAGTTGATATATGAACCAGACTAGTCAGCAACGGATGGAACTGAGCCACTGATCCTCCCAGGCCGTGGATACAGACCAGCAGGGGCAGTGGTGGGTTGGGCAGCTGGTCTGCTTGGAGGTGTCGTTTGTAGAATGTCCTGATGCCAGAATAGGTATAGCGCTCCGTGGTGTACGAGCGGCTCTCCGAGTTCTCCTTCAGCAAGGTCGGATCGGTGGCTCCAGGGTCATGAGGGTTGGCGAAGCTTAGCCAGCCGGCGCCCTGTTGTCGGTCCGACATATTGAACACAGAGGGGGGTTCTGATATGCCGGGATTCGGGCGCGTAACGGGAAGTAATACCGCTAGTATAGTTTGGTGAATATAATGATTTCAAGTTCAACAACTTGATGTGTAGTGGGTAATGTAGACCGGATAATGCGCGGGTATCTCTGAACGTAGTGCGCTATAAGAAAGTGCCGGGTCTTTTTTTTGTTGGTCGGGACGCGGGAGCGTTGATCTTGTGAATACGCCGTGTTCAGACAGAATAACAAGAAAGAGAAAAAGGAGCGACGAGATTAGCGGCGACCGTGGTCGGTGACACTGGGCCGGGAATGTGAGTCAACCAAGTTTGAGGCGGGAAAGCGGTCCCCTCGTTGACTTCTGGTCTGTTGCACCTGGTGCTGCTGGGCGCGAGGCCCAGAAGCACTGCAGGAGAAACAAAAGCGGATGCTTCTTTTTTGATTTCCTCAAATTGTGAGAGACACGCGCGCGCGGGGCAGGTGTCTTTCGTGAGAGATCGACTGATCGAGACGCAGGCGAAAACGTGGTCGGAACAGGCCGTTCGTAAGGCAAGATCTGTCACTGGGGTTCGAGTCGGAGTGAGTGAGAGCGGAATGAGTGGAGGGGAGATAAGGTATGAGTGAGAGAGACGCGCGCTGGTGAGTACGGTAGCGTAGGTAGCGATGAGCCGCCTCGATAGACAGGTAAGGTGGGACAGGCCGCAGGTGCATTCGGCGGGCACGGCAAACCTTTGCCTTTTTGGCAATTTTATGTCACTGCTCATTTTCAGCCAACAGTTCGTCATCTCTCCTCCACCTGGGCCCGGGAAAACACTGTCATTGGTTTATTGCATCTAGATTTTTCTGGCCAATTGTATTGACTTTCTACACTTGGATTGTCCAGGGTCCACGGTGCTGCAAGGCTGATTACGTATCAGATGAAGTTGAACTCTAGGTATTGTACATTGCATTTAGGTAACTAGTATTCTATGTATTACGAGTAGCCCTCTAGTGAGAAAAGTTTTCAATGTTGGTCGCGGAGTATTTCCGTATGAGCATTGACGGGTTGTGATAGTACAGCTCTTGCAGTCATGACCAAGAGGTGGGACCTATGGCGGGGCCAAAAGAAAATACAGATGGTCTCCCGGTTGAATCAATCGAGAGTTTGCCATGGGCGGGACAAACTGGCATCTCTGTCACACCCATGGCGGCCTATGAATCGCCGTGAATCGCTATGAGGCCGCCATGTGAATGACTCCAGTCTGGGTGACGAAATGTGTGCCTTCCAAGTTCGACTCATCATGAATCGGATTGAAGGGTTTCCAAGACACCGCCTGCACTTCATACAGCTCCCTTACCCTCTTTCCATCCGATGGGAATCATCGCGCCCGCAACGACGTCGACGCCTCGCTCCGTAGCAAGAAGGTTGAACTGGGAGGCGGCATTTCTCGTATCCAACACCTCGACACGGATGCCGAGCGAACTTAGGTGCTTCCTTGTCGCCGGGCTAAGGGGCACAATCTTGGGACCAACACCGATGATGAGAAGATCTGTAAAGAAGCATCATTAGTAAACTAGACTACCCTCGAAACAGAAGAGAAGAGTAGAGCGCGGGGGAAATGCGCACCAGGCCTTGGCCAGACCAGATCGAGGAGCCCGAATGCTTCCGCGGGCAGCTCGAACTGGCCCTTGGCGTTGATCAGGTTCTTGGACCCCTTCGCCTCCCAGGGCCTCCACTCGAATGCCTCGCCGCCGATGAGCAGCGCCGCATCGCCGTCCATGATCTTGACACCGCTGTTCAGGTGGAAGCCGTCCCATACGCAGGCGTCGATCGAGGTCGAGGGGATCGGCGTGTTGGCCAGTACGTCCATCTCGCTGAAGTCGGTCGCTCCCTGGTAATCCTTGGGCTTCTCATTCTTTGATCTGAATGGGGTCGCATGGAATTGACGGCGCATGCATAATGGCTGTGCGGCAGCGGCAGAGGGTAGAAGTAATATCGGCGAAGCTCGAGGGACGGATCGGGGGACGGTGCGCTGAGCGCGCGCAAATGCGCGGAGGGCGCGGGTTGCCGCAGAGGTGTTCATCGGGTCGTTTGCGTGCCTCTTTTGAAGGCTGGAAGTTTACCAGCTTAGGTAGTTCGAGGGCTGAAATCAATCAAAATTCGTGCAAGCTTGTTGAGTCGTAGTGTGGTTGGTTGTGTTTGGAAAAGCTGGAAAGCTGGGACATTTTTTTTCCCGGGGTGCAATGCCTCAGTGTCTTGAACGTCATGATTACTGGGTTAGGTGGGATGTTTGACTACCTCAAGCACGAACAGTATTAACTAGGGAAACGCAAAACGAGCGCCACCATAATAGGTAACGAACGACTACTAATCGATGTGGCCATGAACATGGATCTTGCTTCTCAAACACAGTTGTCATCCGTAAAGGCGAGAAAAGTTCAATTTCGCTGTCATAATCCAGATCTCGGGAGTAAACCACTTTTTTGGGCGCCACGACCAGACACCGCGGAGTTGTCGTCCGTCACAGAAAAACGAACGGGAATCCCACATGACCAATAAGACTTGTGTTGTTGAAGGGCTCGATTTCCGTTTTCATTCAGGTATCGAGGCCTAACAGTGCCCTAACGACAGCGTCGGCAAGAAGAACCGTTTCAATCCGCCTCGTGGCCCGACGATCCTTTGTATCATGCTGTTTTTGCCCTAATGAACACCGAAGCAATGAACCAACCCCTTATTCCCATTCCTGCCAGTGTTGTGTTTGACGTGACCAAGAAGAGATGTGTCGGGTTTATTTCTTCTTCTCGCTCTGGCTCTGCTCCTTGAGAACCTTCTTGACGATCTTCTGCTCCTCAATGAGGAAGGCACGGACGATACGGTCACGGACGCAGTTACCGCATCTCGAGCCACCGTACGCGCGCTGGACGGTCTTCTTGGGCTTGGAGATCTGGGAGTACTCGCGGGGGCGGAGGGCGGGGACCTATCGCGGTCTTGTTAGCATGCCGTCTGCTTGGCTCTGGTACACTCCGAGTCGAAGCCAAAAGTTCGTCGTTGCCATCTGGGAGCGCCGGTTCCTCAGGAGTCATGCGTCCTTATTCCCAACCAGCCTCGGTGTGACCCCTCGAGACAAGGTGTGCCCCTCTCCAAGGACATCCATGACCATGACCGAACAACATCCCGCAGTTCCGCACTCTCTCAGATGGCTTCTCGGATCGTTCGTTTCGGCTTCGGTGTAGGGTTCGAACTTACGCCAGGGAGCTTGACACCGCAGTCACCGCACTTGGGGGCAGTACCGCGCTTCTTGATGTGAAGGATTCTCAGCTCACCACCCGGGGTCTTGACGATGCGGGTGAGGTTGGAGGAGGTGTTGTAGCTGCACACGGAAATTTTCCAAGTCAGCCTCTTTTCCCAATCTATCCACCATGTAACATTTTTTTTCGCGATCGCGGGGAAAGAATAACGTCGTTCGGTCGTTGAATTGATCGTATGCGATATCTCTAGGAAGAATCACTCACCCGTTACGGCGGCGGTACTGGACACGGTTTCCGGCCATTGTGACTGATTTGCTGCGGGCTGCGGGTTGGTTAGTTGAGAGTCGAGGATCGCGAGCGGATTTTCGTGCTTTCTCGAAATTTTGTGTGGGTGGAAAGACGAGATAGAGCCCGCTTAGGCGACCAATGAGGCGGGGGCAGTGGGTGGCAAGCCACATGTGGCTGCTACCAGGTGGAAAGCCCCGGACTGAGCCCAACTCACGTGCTAGGCACGCTAACAATTTTTGGACCTGAAATCATTGACAGTCACTGTTGACGGCCAATTGGATGGAGAGGTGGAATGTGACCCGCAGCCTGCCAACTAAAAGTGCCAAACGGCAGCAGTAATTTTCCTGAGCTTGATTTGAGTCCAGAATCCAGCCAAGCCAGCCTCACTGGTGATTCTTTGCTTCATAGGCAAGATATCGACTAGCCTTGTGTTATCGCATTTCACATTCAATTGAAATTCTAATTGCTTTCTCTCCATCACTTTCGTAAATATACCCTTCAGCTTGTTTGCAACCGGCCACTAAAGCCCTGGTCCCCAAGTATCTGCTCATATATGCACCATCAAGCCATGATGTACCCAAAATCAATCCGCTTCCCGCGTAATAATCGCCGTAACGCCAAAATTGCTGATATATCTACCTGAAGATGAAATACAGCGCTATGAGTCTGTCGTTGTCCAGTCAGGGTGGTCTGTCGTACGCCATGCTTTGATGCCATTAGGCTCCTCTTTACGGCGTTGTGCGGCATGTTCCATAATATTCGTGATCTTCTCACTCTTTCTCAAGTCCTGAAAGTCTTGCACTTCCTTCTTGGCCGCAGCCACCGACTCCATATACGCTTGGAACGTGATCTGAGCTGGATAACATAACGTCAGTGAACGAAACATGTGATGATAGGCTCCAGACGTACGACTTGGTTGTTTGACGGACAAAGGTTCCATCATTCGAGGTATCGTCGTTCGTAAGCCGCGAAGCTTTGCAAGAGGTCAGTGTTGCGATCTGAGGTATCAACCTGCGCTAAGGGGCAACAAACTTTGACATGCAAGAGCTTGAGCTCGTCTAGAGCATGTTCAAGACGTTCCTCATCCCACGCCTCAGAGCCTGGAGCACCAGGCTCACTCTTGATAGCTGGGCCGTTGTTTGCCATGGTAGTGTAAGTTGGTCGGAGAAGCGCAGGGGTCTATCAGACCATGGCGCAGGAGAACGAAAGAAGGGAAGGGTCGAATCGGTCGGCAGACTAGCGGGTAGGCGGTGTGGTATGTTTGGGTCGTGAATCGAATACGGAGAGTGGAATTGACGGACCGAGGCGTTTCAACGACCAGACCGGCGAGGTTGGATGGATGAGTGCCGAGCGAGGGCTCGAGGCGCAACGCGCAATCACGGCCGAAAGGTGGCCCAAGAAAGGCAAATGCTGGATCTGTGTTTGCGAACACCTCAAATGGCACAGTCTGTAAGGCAAACGTTCCACTCACACGGTCATGCGTGGTGCTGGTCGGGGTACAAAAAGGAGTACGGGAAGCAGGCCGGAGATACTGTGTGTATTGATTGGGGTGATGTCTTCAACGTCTAGTACGCGGCGCAGGTGCAGCGCATCCATGGAATCTGGAAGCATGGGCCAGGGCCAGAATCGGGTCCCAGCAGACTTTCCCAGCAGCGCGTCAAGGTGGTTGGTGCGTTATTCTCTGGAGTACCTATCCCCACTATTCCCGCAGGGCCAGTACATCTCGCCTACCTATCACGGTGCAACGCACCCGGGGGCCAGGACACCTTGCCAGGCGTACCAGGTTCCTTACCATTCCCGGACGTTCACTCAACCTGGCCGTTGATTGGTCACGTGAACCTGTATGTCGAGTCCGAGGCGGAAGGTGCAGCTTGCTTTCCGGCCAGGCAATCAATCTCTGGAAGAAAAGAGAAAAGAAGCGGAATACATAAAAGAGCATGTCCTTTACCTCCAGCCATTCTCATTCCCCCACATGATCCATCACCGTCAACCCAGCAAGAAAAGATTGTGTGCATTGCCAGCAAGCATCCCTTTTACTCTCTCGGATACTCAATACAAACGCTGGATACCCTACCTGAGGTACGTGCAGCGTGAATGCCAAGCCCTGGACACTAGGGCGGCTTGCAGCTGGATCCTGGATGCTGACCCTCGCTAAAAAGGTTAGCCGGAGAGCGGATTAACTGCCAACCTAGTTCAGACCGTGCGGATTGGAATTCTCTGGCTCCAACCTCTCCGTGTTTCCTGCCGTTCCGTCACCAGATAACTTAGCTGCAGCCCTTCTGAGGAGAGCCATTCACCCAAAGAAGTACGGATATCATCGCCAATAAAAAGCTGTCGCACTGAACTCATCTTCATCTTCATTTCTCTGCCCCCCCATTTCTACTTTCTGACGCGTCCGCTACTCCCCCGGATCCGTCGACCACCGATTTCATTCCCCCACTTACCCTTCACAACCGCCAAGCTGGACTCCTCCGTCGTCATGTCGAATGCGCCTCCGCCTGCGCTCTTACCACCGCCCGAGGGCATCTTCCGGACCTTCGAAGACCTTTTAACATCGGTTCAGCGCGTCGCAAAAGACCAAGGATATGGAGTTGTCAAGCTGCGCGCCTCGAATTACCGTGATGGCAAGCCTACCCGTTACGACTTGGTTTGCGACCGCGGCGGCGTCAAGTACAGCAGCACCGCTAAGAAGCGTAACCCATCGACGCGCAAGGTCGACTGCCCGTGGCGCGCAAAGGCCGTCTGCGAGGTCCAGCTCGGAAACCAGTGGCGTTTTGCTGTTCAGGAGGGCAGTCACAATCACGAGCCTCGCATCGCGACCGCCCCTCCCGGACAGGAAAACACCCCTCTCGCCCAATCGATCCGTTCTTTCACCAACAAGATTGATCGCCTCAATCACGACATGAACCAAGGCTTCGGTCGTATCGAACAAGCTCTTGACACGATGAACAAGCGCCTAGAGAACCTCGAGAATCGCGCGGGTGGTTACGAGCCTCGTTTCCAGAATATGGAGTCGCGGTTGCAAGGCATGGAGGCGCGTGGAAGCATGGAGCTGCCCATGGACGATGTCGATGCTCGACTCCTATCATCTTCGGTTATGTAGGAGAGTGACCCGGTTGACGAGTCGGGCTTCAAGGCTTCGGATTTATCCGAGGACTTGGTGTGGACGTCTAATGCCTGACCACACCTCGGCATCACAAAGATCCTCGGTCACTAGCGTTCGCTCTGAAAATGCGCTGGATTGGAAAGAGGATCGCGCGTCGACAAATGCACGATACCCACCTCTCGCAAAAAGTGGTTGTGGATAAGGAGACGAGCCAAGGCAGGTTTGGCGGGACAGATCATGTTATCACGGCGTTGGACGGGGACCAGGGCGTTTTCGGACACATTGATTTTCATGTTTTTTCCATGGTTCTAGTGCGAAGGAGCGGCATCGGTCGCAGGTTTGGGAGTAGGGCCCTGAGAGAGGGTACTTTTTCTCATGAAAACTGTGCGATATTACGGGAGGGCGGCTTTTTTGTTTTGCGGTTCAGACACGTTTGGCGGACAATGAGGTCCAAAACCTATAGTGAGCATTGCCCTTTTGGGTGTTTCATAGGATCATCGCATTCCAGCGTTACCTTGCACACACATGGCTCCAGTTGGAGTGTCATTCGGGATGGTAAAGCTCCATTTCGTGATCATCGCTCTTTCCTCATTGCATGCAGGACCACCTTCCTCGTAGGAGCAAACGATAGGCCGAAGGATGACGTAACAGGAGCACCTTGTCAGACGCTGCCCTTAAGTCAATACCTAGCGAGACTGACTTCATTTACATTTTTTGCCTCGACAATCGTATGTACGCTGTTCAGTCTTCTGCCAAGTTTCCTCCCAGAATCTCGAACCTGCATCTCGACGACTTATACGAGCTGCCTCGCCCTAGAATGGAGTCCAGTCCGCGGACACAGTATCAACTCCCACATCGGAATCCAACTTCGCACGTCCGCATTGCACACACTGTGAGGCCAGATCCCACACACACCCATGACAAGCTCCGGTTGGTTTCCTTTCTTGGTGCAAGCAAACAATGTTCCTAATCAAGACCTGCGCGCCGGCCGGCAGAAAACGCCACCAGATGCGTTTTACAACCCTTGGCCCTCGAGGCAACATTGCGAAGTGACGGACCGCGGATCGCTCTCCGCCCACTATCAATCTCCGCTCCCCGCGCTCTTCGGCTTACTCTCAGATCCTGACGATTTCTAAGAAGACCCCATGTCGTTGCTCGGGCCAAACTGCTCTGGCTGGTCCAACTTACATATCACGAGTCTCCGCCTTGGAGATGTGCTTCCTGTGGGCGCAAAATGCTTCGACGCATTACATTGGCAAGCTAGGGATTGGCATGCCTGTTGGCTATCTTGGCTAACGTTCGTCCGAAAGTACTACATGCAGATTTGTTCAGTACAGTGACCACAACCACCCACCTTTCTTTGATTGAGATCGATCGGGGCGCTTGCTGGCACATGCATCTCACATGCTACACAGCCTGACAACTTTGGCGATGCCGCCTTACTTGCCGTCAGATTGCATCCTGTCGCCAAGGTCCATGATCATTTCCTCCTAGGCTTCAGCAAAACTGGTCAAGACGCACAGTCCATCTATGGAATTTTACAACGATAGGATTCCCATTCCGGGGAACGGCCGCTAACGGGTCTATTTATTGTCTAAAGGTACGTGCTGACACGGGTACTTATGGATTCATACCCAATCCTTCCTGGCCTGCTCCCTAGGCATAGTGCGTCCATAGCCTCGGGATGAGGGGGGAACGAGGTTGGGTCACACAAGGACAGTCACTGATCTCTAATTGCTTATTCGTAACGACTGACTGCAGCAACAATCGGGGCAGCTATCAGCACCACGGTTTAGGCATAGGCCGCATTCCCTTCTCGTCGACAGGGGCTATCTCGGACTCTGCAAGCTTGTTGAAAAAAACTTGACAGGGCTGTAAATAAGAGACTTTCACCCATACACGTCGCGAGCCATGGCCACAACATGGCTTAAACTCAACGGCGAATGCATGAGGGCACAATCACGTTCCGTGCAAGACTTGTCAGCTACAAAATTAACTACTACCCTGCATCATACTCTTCGGGTGCATTGCCCGGGGTCAAGTTCAGCCCTGTGAGGACGAGTGAACAAAGACTGATGGCCTGACTCCTACCACCGCACTCGGATCATTTGCGGCAGGTAGATTGCATGAGTGATGTTGTCTCGAAGCTCTCGATTCCCCTCTCTCACCTGAGCTGCGTGCATCCAGCCACCGGAGCATGATTGGAGGGGCCGCCGTTTCGGCGGTTGGCTCGCTCGTTCTGGGACATCAAAGAGACTCTGACAGCTTTGCAGCTAGCCGCCAAATCCCGTAAGGAAAATGGGAACTACGCGGAGGCGGCCATATTCGCCTAATTATGAAGATTTGGATATGTGATGTAATTTGTTGCTGGCGCAGTAAATGTGATGAACCATGCTTGCTTGGCCCTCGGTAGCACGATCTCATCAGTCTGGACCAGCCGCTCTCGTCCATTTGACTTGGCCCCTGCCATCAAACTGGGAGGGGCTTTGCGTATGTTTGTTTGTCAATCGTACTAGCCGAATGCGAGATGCGAAGGTGGGCAGGGCCACGGCCGCCACGCCGCTGGCTGCTGTTGGTGGAGAGGAGGGTGAGGGAGAGAAGAGAGAAGACCGTTAGTTGTGGTGGGTTCCCTGGCACCCTGGGTACACGATCCATGGTTACCATTGTTTCCGGATCTCCACTGCATTGGCAAAGCAAGGGCCAGAGTTGAATGATACAGCCTTGATGCAGAGCCTCTTTTCTTCGGCCGTATGCCAGATAGGCAAATGCCTGCCTGTGCGCGTGATGATGTGACGAAGTGCATGGCAGGTAATAGTGGAGCAAGAAAATCTAAAGCTCCGCAAGGTGGCATCCTACATCGAGTCTCGATTCCAAAAGATTCCGGAGTTTCCTCCTTGTTGCGGACGGAGGGCTGCATTGAACGTCGCCTTGCCATGCAATTTGGCTCCGCCAGTCGTTGGCGATTTCAGCAGCTCCGCATTTCTTTGGCCGGCCTTACGGCCATTGTTATTGACAATGGGCGGGGATCGACGTGTTGTCGAATCCTGTTATTCGCAGCTAACCGACGTGCTGTCCACTGAAGGCCTACCTATGCCTGTCTGTGGTTGATCCAACCCAGCTGGCTTTCGAGGACAATGGCAAGTGGCTTGCAAACCCGTTTTCAAGATGGAACAAGAACACCCTTTCGTCAGCAAGACCCTGCTCACTCGCCGTGCTTGCGGGTTGCGGTGAGGGACACACGTTGCCCCGAGCAAACAATTGACTTCAATATCTCGATTCATGTGATATGTATACATTGCTCTATAGCCGCGCGTTTGTTGCTATGATTAGGTCATGTTCCAGCAAATGGGGACATCATGCCCCTATGCTCAAAAAAAATCAATTCCTCCGTTAACTCCAGTAATGCCACATGCCCCATGTCCTGCCCCTCTACTTCATGACTCTGGTCTGCCACCTCCCAACGCTAAGAAATCTCAACTTATGCAGCTCCTGCCTTTACAAGGTGGGCGTACTCCAAGCCCTGGGGTTGGCTCCAGGTGCTGGGGTCCTCAGCCAGGGCCGCCATCTGCTGCTGCTGGAGGTTCATGGCGCCGAGCTGCTTCTTGTTCATCTTCTCCTTCAACTCCTCGGTGATGGCGTCGACGTCGACCTTGAGGTACCCGCGGAGGAACTTGCCCACGTCCGTGTTCTCAACGTTGCCGCGGATCTTCTGGGCCTCGTCCCCGCCGGTGCTGTAGACGTTGACGTCAAGCGCCGTGTGGCCATGGGTGCTCCAGCCGACGTGGGCGCGGAGGCTGATCATGGCGGCGAAGGTCTGGACCGAGACCTCGGGGTGGTCGACGAGGGCCTGGAGCTCCTCCGGGTGGGCGTTGTCGATGCCGAGGCCGGGGACGACGAGCTCCTTGTTGACCCATTGCTTGAGCTCCTCCTTGTTCAGGGTCTTGCCGCTGGTGGAGGCGACTTTTTGCAGGAACTTTTTGGAGAGAAGCTCGGCGGAGGCCGAGGCCTTTGCGAGGGCCTTGGGGTACCAGTTGTAGACGGGGAGGTGTCCGGGCTCCTCTGTTTATCACGTAGTTAGCTGGCTGCAGACATGCTTTTTGATGAGGACGAAAACAAGAATTGAAGACTTACGCAAAGCAGTAGCGAGGCCACCGGTCTCGTGATCGCTGGTGGCCACCAAGAGGGACTCGGTCTTGCTGTCCTTGACAAAGTCGGAGACGAGCTTGAAAGCCTTGTCGTATTCGAGGACCTCCCGGACCTGGGCGGCAGGGTCGTTGATGTGGCCGGCGTGGTCGATCCTGCTGCCCTCGATCATGAGGAAGAAGCCCTTGTCGCTGTTCTCCGTGGCCTTTTCGAGGGCGCGCAGTGCCGTAGCGGCCATCTCGCTCAGGCTCGGGTAGACGTCGCTCATGTTGCGGCGGTCGATCTCAAAGGGGATATCGTAGTGGGCGAAAAGACCGAGCTGGGGGAACGAGACCTTTTCGCCGCCCTCGAGGGCGTCAAAGCCCGCGCGGTCGCCGGCGTAGGTCCAGCCGAACTCGTCCTGGGCCTTCTTGACGACGTCGGTGTTGTCGAGTCTGCAGCTGCCGTCGGTGCCGTTGGGGAGGAAGTGGCAGCGGCCACCACCGAGCATGATGTCGACGACGCGGCCGAGGGGACCGTCGCCGACCTCCTGGAGGGCGATGTCGTCGTTCATGGCACGGGTGAGGACGTGGCTGGCGAAGCAGGCGGGTGTGGCGTCCGTGATGTCGGTGGTGACGACGAGGCCGGTCATGAAGCCGGCGCGCTTGGCGGCCTCGAGGACGGTGCCGCAGGGCTCGTAGTCGGGGAGGACGGAGATTGCGCCGTTGTAGCTCTTTTTCCCGCAGGAGAAGGCGGTGGCGCCGGCGGCGCTGTCGGTGACGAGGGAGTTTGAGGAGCGGGTGCGGGAGGAGCCCCAGAAGTGCCTGTCGAGGGTGAGGACGTCGTCTTCAGGGAGGCCCTCGACGTGCTGGCGGAAGCTACGCGTCAGAGAGAGCGAGGCCGGGCCCATGCCGTCCGAGACCATGAAGATGAGGTTGCGCTTGCCCTCAGTGGGCCTGGGGAACTTTGTCGAGCTCCGGTGCTGGGTCCATACTGCGAGGACGATGAGCGCTGCCGTGGCGAGGAGGGCCCAGGCGAAGAGGACGATTTCGCGGAGGCGCGAAGGGCCTGGGGGCGTCCGGGAGGAGTCGTCGCTGTCGTCGCCTTCGCGGCGGTCGTTAATCAGGGGCGTCCGTTCGGAAGACTGCGTGTTTGCGGTATTAGCCATGATGTTTAACCCCCAGTTTGCGATTTAAGCTCCAAGGTGGTTGGTTTTGCGACCGCGGGGTGTCTTTTGTTTGATAGATGTGAGTTTGGGGTAAAGTTTTGTTTTGTGCTTACCATCTTGGAAACGTCTCTACTGTGTAGGTCCTCTATTGCGTGGCAAACGCAAGCAGGGAAGGGATTTCGCGTCGCTTCAGTTCCTGTCGCAGGTGAAGCTGGGATGGTTTGGAAGCTGACTCTTGCCCAGGTTGATAAGGTCAGGTACCTGAGGTAAGTGACGGGGGGCTGGGATCTTTTTTCAGATGACGGAACCGAGCCAGGACAGGCAGCCCCTCCACTATGGCTTCCAAGTTCCGTGCCCTGCAGCACGATAACACCCCGTCGATAACCTTGACGACCTTGATGACCTTGGGGGATAGCTTCAGTGGTGTCTGACTCTCGTCCACTTTGGGAAATGGGTCACGGTCTCATTCTTTCGTTGCAGGGCTTCACCGTCTCCTACCAATCCTACCAATCCCGACGCGTTCATTTGGAGCTTTGGGGGACCGTTTGGAGTAACTTTGAGAGATGTGACTGGTTGGGTGGCTCCTCCCCCAGGGGACCCCACCATTCCGGGCATGTGCTGTGACATCACGCCCGCCTTGTCATCCCGTGGTCACAGGTGCCATCTCACCCACTGAACCTTAGATACTGGTAAGCCTGAGTCGGACAGACACATTGGATAACTTTTGCGAGTAAAGGGATTGGTCCCGCGATGCGGTCTGGGCTGAGCCTCACACAAGCCTTCCCTCCAAGGCCCTCCAAGGGATCTCGCCCGCGCTGTCAGCTGGACTGCTTGTCGTTGGCTTAGACTGGATCATGTGGGCGAGCATCTGCGGGGAAAGGTTAGGGGACACACACTCATATCACTTATACTCCCCCCCTCCTCATGCTCGGAATACCGAACGTGGTTAGGATCAACTAGCTGCCGTTGGTCATGGTTCACATCTCATTGGATCGTAAATCTCGGTGGACAGGCCGAAGGGCTTTTGTTTGATTCACATGGCATTTTCGTGGTTTGAACTTTTGGGCCCGATGGAACCTTGTTGCGGGTGTCTCCGATCATCTTTCTCACCTTGTCTCGAGGGCGGTAAGTGTCGTTTGGAGACATGAAGGCAGTATGCTGTTGTATTTCGTATGCCTTCTTTCCACTGTACAGTATGGTTTAGCTCATTTCTGTTCTCCATTGAAATGACGCGATGATGTACGGAAGATGAAGCCGGAAGCCCTCTTCCAACCCAAGCTACTCTCCACGCTGAGGATGAGAAGGACCTACCTGGCAGGCTTCTATTTGCGACATGTCATCTGCGGTGTGCCGCAAACCTTTTGTGAAGAATACGGTAACAAAGCTTAGTAAGTACGGATTGCATCCGAATAAATATATTGAAGAGCCCCTAAGCTTAGCAGATTCTCTTACATCTTGAGTTCCTACGTTTCTTATGAGCTCACCTGCCCTCTTATCCTTCGACAATGGAGGTTGAATCTTTATTGGCGTTCCACCTACATCATAACAATTGCTAGATAGCGTTAAGGTGCCTATACATATTTAGCACTTATGATGGGTGATAACGAATTACCTATTTACTTAACAGCAATTTCCTTATATCTGCTTATAAATAACTTCGAGATAGTACGTAAATTAGAGAAAGACTGGTTGCGGAGGTGCTGACGCCTTCTGGTAGTTGATGGGGTACTACGTTGTGGTCAAGGTGGCATCGGCTACCATCACTATGTGTAGTTACCTTCTACCCGTTTCCAAGTGTTAACACAATTTTATTCTTCTCGTAGATACCTCGTGCCATCGAATCTTCAAAGACCTGTAATGTATGGGGAAATCAGCTGTTTGGCATTGAAGTGCGCTCTTTGAGACTCCTTTCAGAGTGTCCGGGCCAGATGACACTCGGCCTATTTCCACTTCAAAGTTTCAGTCTAGATGACCTCGACAAGACAGCTGGTCGAAACGACCACCAGAGGCCTAGAGGCACAGAGTGAACGACTACGGAACGTTCTCGTCATGCAAGCGAAGCAAATATACGAGTCGAAGTTTGAGAACAGATCAGACGTTTCTTGGTCAAGCTCCTATATGTATTATGTGCCTTACCGACGAGATCTTGGGACCTACTTTTCCGTGGCCCGGTCTTGCAACTTCTTACTATTCTACAACATAGCGGGTTCCTAGACTCGTCGCTATATGTACTATTGCTGCGTAGAAGTTGACCCGGAAATAGAGAAGCAAGCCATTTTCTGATCAATTCACAGCAATTCGAGTATTCCTACTAGGTCTGACAGAGGAGATTCTGTTCTCGTCTATTTCATCATTCACTTCTTTGCGTTAAGGTATACTTTGACATATCGTCACTGATTCACTTCGCACGAGGCCCCATGAGTTAAATACATAAAAGGTCGTTCAGCCCGACCATGTGGAAGAAAATTTCAAAGCTTATTGCACAAAGCATTCTATCATTGCCCAAAGACACTACCTACCCCTTTCACGCAACCATGAACGCAAGTTCCAACACTCCAGCGATGACAGCAACGACTTCTCAGCCAGTCCTTCACACTGGCATCTGGGACATCATCCTCGAGCAGCTTGCTGTGAGAGGAGACCATGGTACTCTGGCGAATTGCACTCGTCTCAACAAGGAACTGTCTGAGCTAGCATCTCGACACCTCTACAGGTAAGCAAAGACCCCTAGAACAAATGATGCCTATCCTCTCTATCAAAGAATTGTTCATTAACCAGGCACCAGTGCGCAATTTTGCCCTCCTAGATATTGGGGCGGAGAGGCTACAGAAAGCCTTTGGGCGAATCTGTCTGCCGACATGTTGGTGTGCGAGGAGCATCCAGACGCGAACGAAGCCTTCCCTGCTACCTACCACCCGTACCTGCTTTACATACGCCATCTGAATCTTCTCAACTTTCTCTCAGTCCACGGGTGCAGACCGTTCCCCGACCAGCGGTTCGTTGCTGTGAACCGTGAGGCTGCCCAGCAGAACCCCGGCTCCACGACTGATCAAAGCATTGTCGCGGCGAACCATGTCACTGCCGAAACCCCGAGCATCGGATGCTTTGGAGATCGCCTCCTCCGCAAGCTGGCTCAAATGTCCACAGAAAAAGGCTTAAACATCATGCTTAAGAGCTTGACGGCAGACTGGTGGATGAATGTCCAGCCAGTCATTCATACCTTTAGGAAGCTGGAAAGTCTCTCCCTCGTCTTTCTCGATGACTTGGACAAATCTGCAGCCGCATTGATCACGACGCATCTGCCAATGTTGACGAAGATATCAGTGGTACAGGCTGATGACTCTGAAATTGCTTCCTTTGCAGATTTCGTTTCGGAGCTGCCGCCGACTCAGTTGCGTTCGTTCGACTGCTCCCTCAATCAGACGCAGATGCCGCTTTTGGAAGCAATTGCGCAGCAAACTTGTCTACAGGAACTCACTTTGCAATTCGTAGTTCGCCCTCCTTTCGAGTTGTATCGACTCTTTGAGCTGACGAACTTGACATCACTGACCCTCAGCTTCAACTACCAGCCCTCGCCTCAAAACCGTTTGAGATTCAAAAGATGGGCAGAAGAGAACCGCAGCAAGGTTACAGACTGGCTCAAATTTTGCCAGGCTCTTCGCAGTCTCCATCTCTTCCGCTTTCCAGACCTCATTCCCGCTGTTGCTGATGCTCTTCCCTACTTACGTTTACGCAGATTACACATTTTTTCGACGGGATGCTACGAAGACTTCTATGAAGCACTCGAAACGCAGCAGCTCGAGTATCTCTTCTTAGCCGAGTGCTCTGAAGAAGGCCTCGTCAACCCTACTTCGAGGTCGAAAGAACGAGGCGAGCTTGTCATGAAAGCAGTGACAGCCATGCCGTGTCTTCGGGATCTGCGGCTGCATACATATTCCACTCTGGACTGCAGTGCGCTTGATAATATTGCCAAACACGTACCGAAGCTCCATACGCTATCCTTTGTCTGCCGAAAAGGCGAGAATTCGACCTGGACGCTCCGCGCTCTCGAAGGCTTCAAGCACCTCACCAGCTTGACAGTACTAGGCCATACCAAATTCTCGTCGCGTGAGATACTCTACTGGGTCAGCTACATGCATTGCCATCAGCGCCCTGGCGGCTTCAGGCTGAGTCTCCCTGCACAAGATCCGCGGTCTTGGTACCGAGGAATGAGAGCCCCAGCCCAGATAGTGCCTTCCACTAACGACCCGGCGACGGCAACTCTGAAGCAGGTGTTAAAGTGGCTGGCCGTATTTGGAAGGGAACGCCACTGGCGGGGCAATGACTACGAGGCTGAAGAGGAGCGCATGTTTGTACAGCTTTGGGGCGATGCCAGGGGCCCGGCTGAGGGGCTGCAGCTTCTTAGAGGCTCAGGGCCGTACGCGCCGTGGTCAGGCTTGATGCATAGCACGGGTCTGCCTATTGCTTGGAGGAGCTTTCTCTAAGTCATAGCCGGAGAAGTAATTCTGATAGCTGGAGTAAGTTGGTAGATGAATAAATCATGAGTTTATAGTATATCGAGATGAAATATGAGGTGAGGTTGAGTCAAGGCGCAGGAGCTATGAGGCGCACCTGCTTCGTTCGAATTTCTGGGGGAAGTTACGTTCTTACTTGTAGAGCCGCCCCGCAGTACCTGAGTACCCCACGACCACTTTACGCGCCCTGACGCGCTTCGCCTATGACGACCGCCCCTCACATTGAAGCAAACCTAACGCAGTGAACTAACACCGAACTTCCTGACATCTGTGGCTCAAGCTTCAATGATATCATAACTTCAATCCAGACTTCTGCGGTGACACGATGGCTATCCTCAACTTCACGCTCAGCGAGGACGCTGTCGCTGCCTTCCGCGACGTACTCGCCTGCCTGAACAAGTTCAGTGACGAGGTCTCCCTAGAAGCCAAGAAGGACAAGGTCAGTCACCTATTGTCCAAGCACTGCAAACGACAAACATGCATATTGACCGAATTGCATGTAGTTGGTCCTCACAGCACTCAATGCATCTAAGTCGGCATACTCCTGCTTCACATTCACCACCAATCGCTTCTGCTCCCGCTACCAGTTCGAGGGAAGTGCGCAGTACCGGGACAAGTTCTACTGCACGCTGTATACCAGGGTATGATTCTCACTGGAATTTTGACATATATATTGCCAGAGCCTCATTGTTCTACAGTCACTCGCCTCCATCTTCCGAAGCCGTGCAGGTGGCGATCCTCAGCGTGATCGCGAGAAGGAGAGCACGATTGATCGTTGTGATGTCGCTATTGAAGATGGACCAGGTGTCAAGAGTCGCTTCATCGTGAAGCTAGTTTTCCGGAATGGTATGCTTATCAACCTGGATCAGCACGACATAGAAGTAGCTGATCAGTGATTCAGGTGTCACATCTACACATCGACTGCCGTTCGAGGTTGCGGTGCCAGTGCACGCCAAATTCGACCGAGATGAAGCGATCCATCATTGGACCATCCCGTCGCGGACTTTGAGGCAACTGATGGAACATTTTGGTCCTGGAGTCGAGCTTCTGGATATCAACTCAGATGGCGAACATGTTAACTTCACATGCTACACAGAGAAGACGACAAATGGAGACGGTTGGCTCCAAAACTCCTTGGATGTGTCTATGTATACTAACGTCAGATGCAGAGGTTCTCAAGAAACCACTACACACATCAATCGCCATTGAGGTCGACGAATTCGAAGACATAGAAGTCGAGGATAAGCTCCGCATCGTTATCAGCGTCAAAGACTTCCGCGCCATTATCCAGCACGCTGGCATCACCGGCAACCACATCTCCGCTCGATACTCTAATCCGGCGCGTCCGATACTGTTCACTTATCCCGGCGACGGCATGAGTTGCGAGTTTCTGCTCATGACGGTCGGCGAGAAGGGTAACCCGGCCCAGAAGACGAAGAAAGGTAAGGCGAAGGGCGCCCAAGCGGCTCCGCAGCAACAGCTCGAAGCCGCGTCTAGAAGACAGAGTGCCGCGCCGTCTGAGACCCCGCAGCCCCAGGAGCAACCACCCGCGCAGAGTATGCCGCCTCCAGCGCTGTCGGCGTCTGTATCACGGAGTGGAGTCGCCGCGCGCACTTCACTGTTCGATTTGCGGCCATCACAGCGACCGCCTCCCGCAACCATGGCTTCTCAAAGCCTGTTTGTGGACGACCAAGACGAACAGGCGTGGGAGCCCGTCAGGTACGAAGAGGACGATGATCCAGACTTGGATGCAAGACTTGGGTGGGATCATAGTAATCAGCCCGTAAGTCTCTCTGGCCCGATCGATCTACCTAGGACCATGATCTTAACCCACATGTCTCTTCAGACCGCTTCTTCCATGCACCTTGACCGCAAAGTCGCTGAAGAGAATGCCGAATTCGACCCGACTCCAGCCAGTAGCGCAGGATTGGAGCCCACACAGCGCCTTGATGATGTTAGGCGCCTGGGCTTATTCTACCAAGGCCCATGATCCATTTGAATGGATGGCAGTGTGATGGTGTTGCTGCCGTGCCGACTTCGAATAGCCCTCAGCCGGCAGAACCATGTCTGCACCATTTGTCAACCGGTGATGATAGTCACCCAGCTAGTCGCGCAGCCCGCGCCGATACCCGCAATTTTAGAACCAGGAGGAATAAATCTTGACGACGCAATGACATTCCACCGTCCCTTGACATCGTTGTTCTCAACTTGCGGGCCGCAATTGCCGTGCTCTCCCCATCCCCAAGCGAGCGCATCGCCCGTCTCCGTGAAAGCAATGACATGTTCGCTGCCAATGGCAATCTTTGATAACTTGGGTAGGCTCGGCGGCGGGAGCTGTCCGTGGTCGTCTCTTCCCCACGCCATGAGCTCGCCGTCCTTCTTCAGGACATAAACATTGCCCCAGCTTGCACCGACATCTGTCCACTCTGGTACAGAACTGGGCGCAGAGGACTTGATGTTCCATTTATCAGAACCCAGAACGAGCAGTTTTCCTGAATCTGAGGCTCCAAACAGACAAGTAAAGTCCTTTCCGCAGACGGCTCTTTCAACCTCGAAGTCGACGCCCTCGATCTTTCTCGGCGAGTAGACGACCGCCTCTGGGGATCCGCCTTGGCCCTTGCGCACATTGCCCCAGGCGTAGGCGTCGCCGTTGCTCAGGACCACCACGGCATGACCCATACACGCCGCCAGGTCTACGATCTCGGTCCCGGCCGGCGGGAATTCCTTGAAGAGGGTGGCGGACGGTGAACGAACGAGGAGCTCTCCGAGGCCCAGCTCGCCCTTTTGTCCAGCGCCGAAGCTGTAGATCTTGGTCTTCTTCCCCTCGGCGTCTTGTTGGACGACGAAGGAGGCTTCCCAGGTTGCGGCGATCAGGGCTGGTGTGGCCGAGGCGGCGTTTGCTTCATCCTTGCTGAGCTGGACTTGTTGGAACACTGGCTCGTCGGTCTCTGCTGCTGAGGTGAGGCCGCATGCGCCGCTGGTCGCGTCTCCGCTCCACCAGAGTTGTCCAGATTTTGTGAGGAGAAGGGTGTGGTTTCCGCCTGCTGCGATCTTGACTACTGGCGATTCGGTGTCCTCTGGGAAGAAGATGGCTTGCTTGGGGACGGAGACGTCTTCTTTGTGGCCGATGCCGAGCTGACCTGATCCGTTGGAGCCAACGGCGAAGAGTACAGACATCTTGTAAAAATGTTTCGCCTTGATATGATACTGTTGGGTTGCCAGATGAGGGAGCTTTCTCTCGACGAGGAGAGCTTCCTGAGCTTGGTAAGGTAGCTAGTAGCTTCTGCGGACCCCCGCGAAATATCGCAGTAAGCAGATTCGTCCCCCACCAGTTTCTTGCATGCATTTAAGCAGTTCCATGGAGGGGCCTTTCGGCCAATCTTTCCTGCGTCTCCGCCAATGGATCCGCGCTGCAAAGATCAAAAAGCGGAACTTGAGCCGCCAACTTTTTTTTCTTCTCATCATTCGCATCACAACACTCTCGCAGGACGGTGCTTGCAGACAGCGTCACGATTCGATTCTCGATTCTGCACCAGAGTTGTTCGTCGCTTGTGAGGATGTGAGAGGTTTTCTCTTGGAGTAGAACCTTTTGCAGCCCTCTCCAACAGAAGCTTAATTTCCACCTGCGCAACGAAAATCTTCTAACCTGACAGGAAAAGCGTGCTCCGCACACGGCACGATGGCATCTTCTTCGGCTCTCCCTTCACCTCAGGCCGCCGCCGGCATCCCCGCTGGAATGGAAAATTTCGTTGTTGGCCTGATTGGTATGGGAGACATGGGGAAGATGTACGCGCAGAGGCTTTCTGCCGCTGGATGGAAGTGAGTAATTGTTCATTCCCTGGCTGGGTCTCTGCGCTATTCGATTCTTCTGGTAAGCTTCTTCTCCCGTTCTGTTCACATCCTCCTTCAACACCACCACATCTCCCCATTGGTCATGATGACAAGAGCGCATTTGGCTAGAGTATCGCCCAAGGCATTCTCAGGTAACCATTCTGGCCCTGGGTACCGCTGAGGGCCTTCCATGATGATACACCTAGCTACCTTAAACTTTACCTGTCTGAACCTTCACAATCATTCTGTTCTTTTCTATGACTCGCATCTTAGAGAACAGCGAAGCTAACAAGCTTTTCAGGAATCTGCAATAGCTTCATGCCCTATCTTTGCTATACCACCCGCTCAGCTTATACTGTGTCGGAGAGAAAAGAGGAGGATCTGCAAGAAAAGGGAAGACGGCTGACGTCCCGGGTGTCGGCAGGATCATGGCTTGTGACCAGGAAGAAAAGTACGAGAGCCTGAAAGAAGAGTTCTCTGGAAATGTATGGGAATGCCACCAGACCTGCCCTGCCGCACGCTTTCTAGCGTGGGAACCCCTAGGTGTTCAACCCCGGCTGAGCAGTTTCTTGATAGAACAATGTACAAATTTGCCGAAATGGCCACTACGTCTCCCGCGCCAGCGACTACATCATCTACAGCGTTGAAGCTGCCGCCATTGACCGCGTGATCGCCCAGTATGGACCTTGTATGACCTTTCCCCCGTTGCCACTGCCATCTCTGCCCATGCTTCCCAGCCCATTCTCAACCCACGAGAGCCTCATCATAGTCTAACATGATCCTCCAGCAACCAAGCTCGGCGCCATCGTCGGCGGCCAAACCTCCTGTAAGGCCCCTGAGATCACAGCTTTTGAGCGTCACCTCCCCACCGACGTCGAGATCGTCTCCTGCCACTCCCTCCACGGCCCCAACGTCGACCCGCGCAACCAACCCCTCGTCATCATCGGCCACCGCGCCTCCGCCGTCGCCGTCGCGAGAGTCGAGACCGTCCTTTCCGTCCTCGGCTCCAAGCACGTCCACCTCACGGCCCTCGAGCACGACCGCATCACCGCCGACACCCAGGCCGTCACCCACGCCGCCTTCCTCTCCATGGGCAAGGCCTGGCACGCAAACACCCAGTTCCCCTGGGAGATGTCGCGCTACGTCGGCGGCGTGGAGAATGTGAAGATCAACATTATGCTGCGCATCTACTCCCAAAAGTGGCACGTCTACGCCGGCCTCGCGATCCTCAACCCCGAGGCCCGCAAGCAAATCTCCCAATTCGCCCGCTCCGTCACGGACCTGTACAAGCTCATGCTCGAAGGCAACGCCGTCGCCCTCCGCGCCCGCGTCCTCGCCGCAAAGGAAAAGGTGTTTGGCCACGACGGCAGCCCCAAGTGGGCTGACCGGCCCCTGCTGAACCCGGACCTCCTCGAGCGCTTCTCCCTCGGGAAAAAGGAGGACCAGACGGAGCCGCAGCGCGCAAACAACCACCTCAGCCTGCTGGCCATGGTGGACTGCTGGGCGCAGCTCGGCATCGTTCCCTACGACCACATGATTTGCTCGACACCGCTGTTCCGGCTGTGGCTCGGCGTCGCGGAGCACCTATTCCGCAGCCGCGAGCTGCTCGACGACGCGCTGCGGACGGCGGTGGAGGACCACACGTACCGCTCCGACGATCTCGAGTTCACGTTCGCGGCGAGGGGGTGGGCCGAGTGCGTTTCGCTGGGTCACTTTGAGACGTGGAAGAACCGGTTCGAGACGACGCAGCAGTTCTTCCAGCCTCGGTTCAAGGATGCCGTGGCTGTGGGTAATGCCATGATGAAGGCTGTGCTGGAGAGCACCAAGAATTGATGAGACTTGTTTTGCGTGTGATGGGAATGGGGATAGAGCTCATGAAATGTAGTTATGATGGATGATTTTCATTGATTAACAGAGCCTTGGCAAGCTTCGCTTGTCCTACACTTGTCTACTGCCCACCTCTCTATTGGGGTATATGCCGTACCAGAAAGCAATATCGGCAATTCCTGTTCGCAACCGGGGAATCCTTTTGTGCAATCCAACGCCTGAGCAACCAACACCGCTACTCTCCTTGCCATGTCGACTTCTCAAACCTGAGTGATCAAATCCGGCTGATGCATCTCCACGCTTTCTTCCAAGACGGCCACACCGTTCAGGACAGTGAGAGGCTGTGCGAGGAAATTTCCCTGTTCTTCCTCCTGTGCCTCCATCTCCGTGGCATCGTCGCCAAGATGGCTACTTACACCGGCCGGAAGACTTGTAGTGGTTGAAGTCGTTGTGTCCAGCCACGAAGCGTCGTCTTCATTTGGTTCGGAAGGCTTCTCGACTTGGGCGGCGAGGTTCGGGGTCCCTGGGGATCGAGGTAGATTGGCGTGTGGGACAAGAAGAGTATAAGGGGTCACTGGTCGCGGTTCGAGTGACGAAGGACCGTTGATATTGAGCTGCGCTGCCAAGTGGCTCGCTAGCTGCGCATCGCTGATGTATCTGCCGGTATCTGAAGATGATGCAGAGGATCCGGTCAAGGCCTGAAAAGAATGTCAGGAATTGTCCATAAAACGGTTGAACGGTGGTCCTCGCCGGCAGCAAGGAAAATTCACTCACCCCTGAAGATGATCGAAGACCAATGTTGGCAAGCAACTGAGAATTACACACAGGTCTTTCGCGAAAGAGGTGGAAGCCGTAGCCGGTGGCTGCGGTGGCAGGAATGTTGCCCTTAGCGATACCATCCAGACTGATAAACGCTCGGTCTGCTCCGCCGGGGCGACAGTACGAGCAGATCTTGTACTGACACTCATCTTTGGACTTGGGTACCCAAGGAGCGGACATGTTGGTCTCTAGAATGTCGTCCAGGTCGTAGGTGCTGGACGAATGTGTGCCATCGTGGCCTTGATTAGGTGCCGGCTTCGCTCGGAAAGATTCTCGACGAAGGACGTCTCCAAGCTAGATGGTAATAAACGCATCAGCAAATGCATAAGGCATTTTGTGTTGGATTAACGTACGTGTTTCCGTTGATTGAAGATAGTCATAAGTTGATCAGTCGTGTAGGTGGTCGTGATATCCCTCGGGGGCATCTCCTCGAGAAAGCTGGCAGCATTCCCTGATCGTTTCTCCGGACCGCGGTTCCTTGGCTGAACGGCAGTAATCAGATGCCTACCGATATCGTCAAAAGTGACCTGGAGTGTCAGTACTATGTTCGTATCGTGATGCTGCATGAGCTAACCTCTTCGCCATTGGAGATACAATTGCGCAAGATTTCCTCCTGGTCCTGGCTACACCGGTACAGCCATCCGAAGTGCCCGTAATTACCGCATGAATCGCATCTGAGGATGTAGCTGTACACTCGAACCATTGTGACGTGTGTGCAAGCGCCGTAGGAACGCGCCAGGCGGTGTGTCGGCTGGGGTGCCATATTGATATCGGACAGCCCAAGTTGCGGCACACAATTCTCGAGGAGATAGCCGCCCGATGATGGGGATGGGTGTTTAGATGATACTCCTAGGTGCGGTGGTCATGGAGCAAGGTGTAGTAGGAGGTGACTTTTGCTCAGTACTGTATGTTGAGGAACTTGGAGGAGGGGGCCCATATTGGTGATTGCACTTGAGAGGCAGGTACAGCTGTTGCTCATGGTGGGAAGGAGCGCCCGACTCACTCACCTACCTTTCATCTCGACCTCCACCATGAGATGCATGAGATGAAAGAAGAGCCAATTAAAATGTAATCCTGAGTGTTCGACGAGGTATACACAAGGTAAGGCAGACGCTTCACTTCAAGTTCTACTGCTTCATTATCAAAAGTGCCTAAGGTCGTGTTCAGAGAATTGTGTTTCTGAGGCCCTGACTGTTATAAAGCCTATGTCTATCTTGAGATGTGAGACGATTGTGTTGTCTTGCCTTATGACATACTCCTTTACATTGTAGTTCGGTTGTTCAATGAGCTTTGTCAAAGCTGTTCTTTAATAAGATGTAATATGTTTAGTTGTCCCGTGTCTTGGATGACAAAGACATCAAATTGAACAACGGTCACTAAGCGACACATATTTTCGTTTCGAATGATTCTATTTTCTAGTTGACGCCTCTCACAACTAGCAAGATGGAAACGTCAAGACCAAGTTTGAAATCAACGGCATCATGAACTCAACGCCGACATTCTGGCACGTGGTTGAGGATGAAGGTCGGACACACACGTCGACTAAATGAGTACGCGGTGACTAGACCTATGATTGAAATAATCGATCTGCATTCTCACTGTACTTTTTTGACATTGGATGCGTTAGTGCGTACTCATGACCATGCCGATTCCATGTCGATCATGAGCACAAGTGAGCAAGAACCGTTTCTGGCTGTACAGGATTCAGTCGACAGTCATGAAACGGCCCCTACTTCTTTATACGCAAGGTCCGTCTTGAATTGAGGTAAGTAGGGCCTGGGAGGTAAAGCGTGGTTGAATAGATAAATACAGCTTGACATGGCTCATCTGATAATCCCGGCACAGGCCGAGGATGTTTGACGAAACCTAGTTGCCGGATGCTGTAAACACACTATATCCAGACTCTGAGATGCAAAGCCTGGCACCGGGATCAGAAGAAAAGTCGTTTGGATGATCTTCGGACGACCCGGGAGGGCAGAGCATGAAGCTTCGTCATTAAACTAGCTGAAGTGAGGGGACGACTGGACGGGGTCAACCCGGCATTGCGGTAAGATGGTCGGCAGGTGCACACAGACAAACAGAGTTGGACTTCCTCCCACTCGATTGGGATAAGGTAATAATTAGCGTAAAGTGCGTGAGTGCATGAGAGGGGATGAGCTGGCGTGCGACGTGCATCTGTCTATTCGGTGCCGCCCGTCATTCTCTGGGCCGCTGCCGTCCCTCCCCCTCCTCTCAGAACTCATGGACCAAGGTGAAAAAAAAAACAGACCTCGGGCCATTGGTAGAGAGCAGCCAATGGGACACTCTTCTTGGATACACCCCTGCAGCTCCGTCCAGCTCTAGCCCGTCATGCAACATCCCGGTTGTGTTGCTCGGAGGAGGACGAATGAGCATTTCGCAGCAGCGAAGCTCTGGTCCAGCGTCGGCACCACCCCCATCAATTCAGTCAATTTCCCCCCCAGCCCGAGGCCTGTCTTGTCGTGCTTGTCTGCCTCTAGTGGAAGTCTGCCGTGCCCAGGTCGTATCCGTACGCCCCCAAGGCCCCAGCTGTGTCAACCTCCTCGACCACTCGACCACACATCAACAACCCACTCCGTCGTTCCCTCTCTCTCTATCGCTGCCGCCCAACCTCCCCTCCTAACGACGGCTCAGACGCTCTCTTCACGTCCTGCGATCTCGAAGTGAAGTTGGTATGTTGCCCTGATTTCTTCACCTCTTCTCGTCTCGTTCGTGTCAATTGTGAATTGAGGGTCTCCAGCGAGCCAAGCTCCAGTCGCGCGCTATCAACCAATCGCACCTGGGTCGGTCGGCAGAGCGACGCGGTAAACAAATCATTGGCCCCCAGCGCTGCCACTCCCTCCCACTCTGGAGCCGCAATTCCAATTGACGAACACCCCCCGGAAAACCCATCGCAAACACCCTCAAAGACGGGCCTCCCAAGCTGATACTCCTCCCTTCACCGCAGTTTCCCCCGCGATTTTCTCGATTACGTTAGCGATACCCCGGAAACTTTAGCCCACCATGTCGGTCAAGTTCGAGAAGGACACGATAAAGAAGGGTGTCGAGGAGGTCAAGAAGGGCCTCATCGGTGAACCTCTGCCCGGTACCAGCGGCAAGCACCCCATCTCCGAGGCCATCGGCACCGCCATCACCGGCGGCAAGAAAAATGCGGGATCCAAGGGCTATCTTGCGGTTCGTCCTCTAATACCTCCACTCCGTTCCGTCATGTGTGGGCGATACGATAGAATCGCTCGCTGCACCATGGTCGGGAGTATGGATATGCCAGGCCGAAATGCTGACGCTGTGCAACCCAGGCCTACATCAAGCAGCTCGAGCAGAACCCTCTGCGCACCAAGATGCTCACTGCTGGAACTCTCGCCGGTGCTCAGGAGCTGATCGCATCTTTCCTCGCCAAGGACCGCAACAAGCATGGCAACTACTTCACCTCGCGTGTACCCAAGATGGCCGCCTACGGCGCCCTCGTCAGCGCGCCCCTCGGCCACTTCCTCATCTGGGCCCTGCAGAAGACCTTTGCTGGCCGCACCAGCTTGCGCGCCAAGATCCTGCAGATTATCGTCAGCAACTTGATTGTGAGTGGCATGACTTAGCGAGAGCCGTCTATAATGTGCGTGCTGACCCATCATCTGCAGATTGCGCCCATTCAAAATTCCATCTACCTTACCGCGATGGCCCTCATTGCCGGTGCCAAGACCTACCACCAGGTCCGCGCGACCGTCAAGGTTGGCTTCTGGAAGGTCATGAAGGTCAGCTGGGTCACTTCCCCGCTGTGCTTGGCCTTCGCCCAGAAGTTCCTCCCTGATCAACTCTGGGTGCCCTTCTTCAACCTGGTGTCCTTCATCATCGGCACCTACATCAACACCATCACCAAGAAGAAGCGTCTTGCTGCCCTGCGCAAGAAGCACTTCGGTGACGGCCGCTCCCCCTCCATGGGAGGTCGCCCTGAAGACTACCCCGGCCCCAAGGACTACCCTGGCCCGATGGGAGGTCCTAACCCCCCTTACTAAATGACTCTTCTATGGTGAGATGGTTGAGAGATGACAGCAAAATAACGCCCACTTGATGAGAAATCTGGTAACATCTAATACGAAAACGATATCAGTCCTTTGGGGCGGATCTCTGGAGTTGAGGGGCGTGGAGGCAGTGTGAAGATACGCGAGCTGGGAGCAAGCGGCTTGGATGGACCGCAAACGACCGTCGAATATCCCTGTACAATTTGCTTGCTTCAAATGTTGCTATCATGTTATATGTCCCATGTGTCGGTAGATAGGTTCAAATGCGCTTGGATTTTTTAAGTTCAGTATGCTTGGTATTTCTGTCCGAGGCCCATCTTCCCAGGTCTATCTTTATGCTGCATGATACGAGTTGACCCTGTATCACACGTTCTAGTGATGGATTGCCTCACTTTGTAATGGTCTCTGAATATGATTGCCCATGACTGACTTGCGTATTCGAGACGTATACTTGCTTGGGAGCAACCTGAGTTACCCTTCATCCGATACCTCGACGCCACAACAGAAGCCCTTATAGGCCCCGCCAATTCCGTTCCTGTCACCAGCCAGGAGGCGCCCGTCTAGGTCGACGGGTCAGGTCAAACTGGCTGGGTGGTGGAGTGGTTTAAGGTCAACTTTCAATTGTACGCCAACCAGCCTACTCGACGACAGGCTTAGCGAGTACCCGAGTTCGAATCCCAGCATGAGCACCAAGAGATGTAGCCACACCGGTGGTGAACTCTTTTTTTTTCTTTTTCCCTTTCTACCTCCATAGGTAGTGGGCACCGCCTGCGTTGCTCATATTGGAGTGAATCGTTTTCCTGTAGGTGTCTGTGTTCCTTTACCGAGGGATCGCCTTCATCACTCCCCTGCCGTCGCCTCGCCGGTGTCGACCATGAAGCCAGGACTCCAGTACTCCCATTCGGGACACTGCTTGTCCACCCACAACATACCCTCGCCAAGAAGATCCTCCAAGGCAGTCTGGGCTCGTGCCCTCGGCCATCGAAGATTAACCATTAGCATTGAGATGCTCACGTATCCCAGCACCTGCACGGCCTCCAACACCGCGCTCTGGTCCGTATTGAGCTCCTTGGGTACACTCCGAATGTACGACTTGCTCCCGACCTTGATGACGCTATGCGAGCTACCCAACGGCTTCAAGGTACCGACGGCTCTCAGCACGTCGTCCTCCGTCACCTCGCTCGCGCCCTCCATGCGGCCCTTCATGATGCGCTCCCGAACCTCACGGACGCCAATCAACCCGCCGTTCTCGTCACGCGTCGCGCTGCAAACCTCCACCACGCGCACCGCCAGCTCAAAGTAGAAGTCATTGACTGACCGACCGAGCAGCTGCGCCCATATTGACGACGACCCACCCCCGCCCGAGGACGATGAAGAGGACGCGAGCGGGTCGACGCCGATGGCGGAACACATGCGGGCGAACTGGGCGCGGAAGGACGGATCTGAGCGGATATCTTTTGCGTGGGTCTGCGCGAACTGTTGGAGGAGGGAGCGAAAGACGGAGAGCTGGGTTTCGAGGGCTTGGGAGTTGCTGGTGCGGAGGTTGGAGCCGTGGGATGCGTACTGCGCCGATGTGATGCGGGAGCGGTCGAAGGCCGCAAGGCCGACGCCCTTGCGCGACATCCTTTTGCGGTGTTCGTCTGTCGGATTGTAGTGTGCAGGATGTTCGTATGTGTAGGAGGGTGGTGGAGGATGACGTTCGGCCGGGGATATGTCACTGTCGTCGCGGAAGAAGGTGGAGGTTGCGAATAGAGGGGCGTTCGGTGGTCTTGGTGGATGCCCGTATCGGAAGGTTATCGAAGCCGATGAGTGACATGCGGTTTCCCGGCGGACACTCCGCTCTCAATCTCGAAAGATGACATAATCTCTGAGTAGGTTCTCCACTATTCCGTTTTGATCCCAAAGCTGCCCGCGGGCTCGGCTGTGCCACAGAGGGCCCACACTAAGCGACTTCCACAATCGAGTACCAATTCCACATCACGTGCTTCACCCTCCCCACCCGGAGAATCATCGGTCGCACCAGCCACTAAACGGGCCCAAACCCCCAGCAGAAAGGGCACAACCCTTACTGAAATCCAACTCGCAAAATTTCGGTCTGAGTCTGTCTCCCAAAGCACCATAGACGCCTGCCTCACGATCGCGTTGCGAATTTCCTAACAGTCCCCCCTCCATCCCGCAGCAACCATGTCGTCCACCCAGACCGTCCAGTGCTTCGGCAAGAAGAGAACCGCCACCGCCGTTGCCCAGTGCAAGGTACGATAACGATAAATTCCTCCTCCCCGAAGCAAGAGACTAGCTCCGATTGAAGATTTGGCGAAGGAGGGGCGACGATGTTTTGGATACTTGGAAAATATGGAAGGCTGACTGTGTTTTGCGATTAGGCTGGCAAGGGCCTCGTCAAGGTCAACGGCAAGCCCCTCTCGCTTGTCCAGCCTGAGATCCTCCGCTTCAAGGTACGATTATTTATCCCGCGCGAAACTCCGATAGAGACTTGGTCGGCAAGAGATGGAAATCTGGAATAGAACCCACGGCATTGAGGGAAGGGACGCATAGGGCGAGCGCTGCGATGCTACGCTCTGTTTACGGATGCGAAGAGTTGTGCGCAACGTGGCGCTCACCCTTTGCTTGCCAATTCGCGAAATCGGTTCGAGGAAGACAAGCGACCAGGGTCTAAACGAGAAACTCGCAATATCAAAATCTCATGAGCCCGAACGAGCAAGAAACTAACCCGTCTCCCGCACCACAGGTCTACGAGCCCCTCCTCGTCCTTGGCCTCGACAAGTTCGCCAACATCGACATCCGCGTCCGCGTCACCGGTGGTGGTCACACTTCCCAGATCTACGCCATCCGTCAGGCCATTGCCAAGTCCGTCGTTGCCTACTACCAGAAGTTCGTCGACGAGCACTCCAAGAACATGCTCAAGCAGGCCCTCGTCCAGTTCGACCGTACCCTCCTCGTCGCCGACAACCGCCGGTGCGAGCCCAAGAAGTTCGGTGGTAAGGGTGCCCGCTCCAGATTCCAGAAGTCTTACCGTTAAACGGTACTCTTTCTGTTTTCTGGGAGAAGGTGTGGAACAGCCTGGGGAATTTGGGGGAATTTGTGCGGCAGTCAACAAAAAACCTTGGGAAGGAAACTGTCGTGGTTTCCCGGGTCCGGTCAGCTTTTGGTGTTTCCCGCGAAAAATTTGGCAGTTACTGTTTTACGGGGGAGTCAAACGTGGATCAAAAGGATCTGGTTCCGTTCCTCTCCCTTTCTCGTTCGTCTTTCAAAGGAAATAAAGACTTTCGAAAAGGGATGGACGGCCAGAGAGAGCATTCGATTTCCGGGTCGATGCACATTGCATGGCATGCCTCGCGGTATCGCTGCTTGGCTTGGTTTGTAAAGGGTCAGGCAGGCAAATGAAACATTGAAACTTCATGACACGGCGTTCTGGGCTCGAGCTATGCGTGTGCCGTGTTTCTTTTTAATTTCACTTCCTTCTAATCCTCCTTTCGTTGCACTCTATGGTATGGCTGGGAACGGTTGTGTCCATCACGCAAGGTTATGATGGTTCTCCAACGATGACATTCAACAATATCCCTACGTGTCCATGAACCCCCTCGATGCCGGTCGTGTCTACATGGTGTTCTATGCTCACTGAAACCTCGCGGGCCAGCTTCCTCGGCCTCGCTCTCCTGCCGCGTACTCACTCGGAATCAGTCGCAAAGTGTCATCTTACCCCAAGACCTTCTTTGCGCGCATTCCACCTCACCGGTCAACTAAAGAGTGCATCGGTCGAGACCATTCCCTACACGTTCAAGTTTACTCACTTCAATCCGACCTCCTGTCTTTATGCCGTTCAAGTTCTGGCACCTGTCTTAAGCCCGGCTGCTATCTCATATCACTTCTCCAGCATCCTCTAGATGGCTAGTCATAAACCTCCGTAGGCGGGGCTTCGAAGTCTGATACAAAGCGAAGCTCATCTGTCCCTGATTGCTCACCTTCAGCCACGGCCCGGTCCCTGAGTCCTTCGCGTGAGTCAACTCTTCAGCCTTGTTATCTGCTCAGTCACGTCCGCCCGACAAGGTTGCATAAGCACTGGCCGCACATACACCTTCGCCCACAACAGGAAACGAGTGGGCAGTCACCAGTGACACAAAAAGAGTATCTCTCGAGGTTCTCGTCATCAGGGGCAAAAGCTAATGATCAGTGGGAGGCTTGAACTCCCGGCCTTGGCATTACTCGACATCTCTGATGAGATATTAGTACCACGCTCTAACCAACTGAGCTAACCGACCAGCTGATTTGTTGCAAACATCTGGGCTTGAAGCCCTAAAGGAAGGACATCATGAGATTGCCCCCCACCTTGAGGACAAGGGTGGTGGTGGTTTGCGAGAAAATTGGGGGCTTTGGTCCACTGAGTGCATCGGTTAGACGCTCGCAGCCTTTACAGTGAAGTGACTACTCGTAAGATGTGGGGATTGAGTGTGTGGTTTTGGATTTTATACCATGGGGACTGCCTCTTGGTATGGTGGTGATGTTGAGACGGGCGTTTTGGTGTGGCTTGCATGCCTCAAGTGCGCCTGAAGCTCACAAGCGTTTTTGCCTTTAATTGACAAGACAGATTGTCGCAAGACCATTGAGGTCTTAGCAGTTATAAACTTACTTCCTAAGGACATTTCTGTACTCTAAGAGTCTATTTATTGCATATAGCAATAATGTGTTTTTCATGAATCTCATGAAGCTCACCGTGAGACATGACACCCTGTAAAGTAAATCAATAAACTTCCCCCAATGAAGAGCCAGCATTAGCTGTCCACACTGCAACTTACAATAAGACAAGATGAAAGTTTGGGGAACCACACCTCGTTCGTTCATTCTATGCCCCTCAGCAATTCGATCCCCGAGAGTTGGAAGAATACCAAATATTGTGGCCGTATTTACTCATACTCTTTCTGAATACATCTCTTTGACAATCCGACCATGCTCTTAGAACACAAAGTCGGATTCGTTCCCCAAACCGAGCCCGTTCGAGCCACCATGCACCTGCGTGAATCTCACCCACCACGTGGGTCAACAAATTGAGTCACCACCAATCACCATTCCCGGCCCCTTCGCACCATGACACCGATTCCTCGAAGATCCGCGCATCTCAGACCCGCCCTCTAGGGCTTGAAACAACGCACAACTGGCTCGCCTTGGAGAAGACCAAGTTAAGCACTCAACTCGCCGCTCCCTGCAACAACAGCCCAACAGCTCAGTTCGAGCTAATCCCCGATGGCACAATTGGCTAGCGCGTCAGACTGTTAATCTGGAGGTTGGTGGTTCGAGCCCACCTCGGGGAGAAGCAGTGGTTGAATTCCACCTGGGAAAATTCTCTTTTGTCATTTTGCCATGTTGACATGTTTGAAAGTGTTCATTGCCTTGCTTTGTCGGTATCCTTGCTTGTTTACCATTGTTGTTGCTGTTGTTCGTTTCGAAATTTTGCAAGCCTCAACCGTCTCAAAGTTTAACGGCGCTGAGCTGACTTGGAGTTGGAGAATTTCGACTTTTCTGTCTTGGTCACAACGATCAGACCGAGACTCAAGCATAGACTCAAGCAAAGTAAAGATTCACGACGACATCGCACCCAATCTGGACTATTCTTGTAGACATTATCGTTTTTCTGCCTCCTCCCATGAGGGGTTTTCCCGTTATATGAGACACCAGAACAAAGTAAACGCCTGTGACCCGTAGCCCGCGTCCTTCATTCAGCCTGCTTCCTCGCCTTATACTCAACTTCGAGCAGAGAGTAGTATAGTGAAATCTCAACCTCTCCAGCAGCGGAGAAATCTACGGGGAAGTGGCTTCGGTTGTGTTCAACGTTAGTGTCTTGATTCTGATCGGCCGACTTGCCTCTGAGTCCAGATGCCTGCCAAGAAGGGTCTTCAGGATCATGTCTGTCAGCCATGATGCGCTGCAGCATGATATCTCTGGCTCTTAGGAACCACTTGAGGCCAATCGGCTGCTTTCGGAGGTCGATTATTTTCGATTTTCTGCATTGATGCTGCATGTGTGGGGTCGGCACGGTGTGGTCAACATCCTGTCTATCGACGTCGTGTTGTCAGAGCTGTCGGCAGTGATGCATTCGCTGCGATAATGGAGAGTCCTTCAGGCTTCAAACAAGAATCTTCTCTCATGAAGATGCCAGAGCAAAGATGAACGATGATGTATCGAATGTTCTTCCCGGTGACGCTTGCCTCGTAGCGTTGTATGGATCGGGGTGCTGGTGACTTTCCAGTCCGGTGTCTCCAGAATTGAGTAGAACAGCTATGTCTGAAGTAACTCTAGAGCTGTTTACCGACTGTGTGTGACATCACGGAAGTCAGCCTAGTCGACAGGTCGATAGCCTCATAGCGACAGCGACAGCGTTAACGACTTACACGGAACTCTTTGTTGCGAAGGTGAAGCTTTGGATGGAAGAAGGGCATTTTCGCCTAGTCCTCTGCCAGACCTGGTCGACCTTACTGGCTGACGAGAGGGGATCTTTGTGAACCTCCCTGGCCGGGCAAGCCTTTGTGCGACGAGCATCAGTAGGCCCAGAGAAACGTAGGCGTAGATGGTCAGAAATAAGATGGAGCGACTGAAGGTCCGGCCTTCGTAATCGGTAAACAGTGCTTCTGACATCGTTCGTTAAATTTGTTCATGCAAGACCAATAGAGACGAATCTCTTCTGACTACAGCTTCCTCTCAGAACCTTATATAGTAGTCTATAGGCAGGATTGTTGAGTCTTCTGTTGTCAGGTCGACAGCATCCAATATTCATTGGGGCGCGTCTTGTGCCAGCCCGGACGATTCTCCCAGTAACCCCGCCGATCTCAGTGTCATCAGGTCAGACAGGTGGTAAGTTTGCTGCAATCTGAGGGAGCCGGGCGGTTGTCGTGACCACCTCGCAGTGCGCGGCCACCGAGGAGATAAACCCATCTCTGTGAGGGTTTCCCGGCCACAGCAGAAAACAAGTGTACCGTTTCGGCTCCCACATTGGCCGAGAAACATGCCGAGCCCGAGTTCGAAGCATTCGATGTCATCATGGATGATCTTGAGAGTTGAACAGAACAGTATTGGCTTGGTGTAGCGGTCTGCCTCGTTCGGTCAGAATGAGTTCAGCTGCTGGGTGCCGGCAGAGCAGCTCTGACAAGGCCCAAGCGGATGGACTGAAGATAAACATGCGATGAATCACAAAAAGGAAAAGAAAAGAAGCAGCTTATTCAATCATGGATTCCATGCCTCAGACTTCACCGAGGCTGCCGTGCAATCTGGGTTGCTCACAACTTGCATCGTCTTAGTCTACTCCCATGGTTCCGAAGATCGTGACTCGATGTTAGATCTAAGTTTGTGTACTTGAGAGGTTTAGACCAAACTCAGCTCGAATAAAGTCCCGTTCAGTCCATTCAGGCTGATATATGGCAGCCGTTGATGATATCACAACCGGCGGCTCGCTTCATCCGACTCGCAGTCACCCGAGACATCGGGCCCGATGGACCCCACTTTCGGGTCAGACACAGGCCCGTTCAATGGCCGGACCGTGGACGGGAGGAGACAAGTCAACTAATACCACTAGGCTGGGTTACATTCATTGTCCAGGCCATTTCCATTTCTCATAACAATCAAAAATAGATGGGCGGCTCCACAGATGTTTGAAAGGATCTCGACACCTCGAGCTTGCCTCTCCGAGTTAGTAGTCACCTCACTGCTGGCTTCTCGGACCTTGCCCCGAATGGATGTAAAAAGTTCGCGTGGTAAATCCATACAGAAAATCCACTCAACTACAGAAGAAAACGGTCAAGGGTTTGGTAATAGTCGGAGTTGCACTTCGGAGGGGACTTTCCGCTTGAATTATTCGCCTCTTTAGGGCTCGATTTCTAAGCGACGTTGACGCTTGTTACGTCGGTGGAACAAAGGAAGCGAGCCTGGACGCTGTAGTATCAATGATGCGTGAAAGCGAAGTGTTAGCCCGCGAAAAGTCCTTTGATGATCCTGTGGCCTTGTGGGGATTCTAGTTCGCCGGCTAAGGGGGGATGATGATTTTGGCTTGCTCAGGAAAACCCGGGAACCTGGAGCTGCGTGGCTTCCTCGCTTAAGTGTTTTCTCGGATGCTGAACCAGAAACGGAAAGTCAATGGCTGGCCTAATTGTCTAGATAAGCCACGCCATGTGTTCATTGACTTTGGATCGATTTATTTGCATGTCTTCTCGTTGCCAAAAGGCACCGGCAAGACTCCAAGGCAAGACTGGGTGACGGCACATGAAGAGTAAGTTGCATTTTCAACGCTTCCTGAGGTCTTGGTCAGGTTGTACAGGAATGTGGAACGGAACGATCATACTGTCCCGGAAACCTGGAAATTTTAGCTCATGCAGTAAGACATTTAGTTCTCTATTGGTATGCTGCAAAATTCACACCGGACCATGGTCGTACACGGACCACAAGATATCACATCGCGGGATCAGCTCGTGTGACATCGTGGGATTTTGAGATCCAAAGTCATGCCCAATACTGCGATTGTCGTCCGAGCCATCCAATGAACCGCCGAAGTACTGCCAGTCTGACAACATTGATCCCACCAACATCAAGTCCCTAATGCATCTTGATTCACATGCCAAGTTAGATCGAGACCGCGAACGGCATTCCTCAAGTGAGCAGACATTCCCAGCTTGACGCAAACGACAAGGTGCCCCTGAGGACCTGCACACAGCCAAGGCCTAGCTCATCTTTGGCTGCATGCTAGCCACGCCGATCTCCCATCCAGAGCGTCCGAGCTCTATGCCCTAGGAAGCAGCCTTGGCTTCCCCTAGCGGCATCCATTGAGCACGACCAACCAATCTCGAGCTGTGATATCCTTGCCAGGCTCACGATGGTCTCAGCCGTGGCGCCCTCTCTGGCATCTGCTAGTGAAAGGGACAAACCAATATGAACTGACGCGCATTTACCGAGTGAACTAGTCGAGACACTGTCGACACACCTCCCGAAAACGCGAGGTCCAGCGTACCGCGTACCACTGCCGGGAAGACCTTCATTGCCTGCCGTGCCTCCCGACTGCAGCGAGCTGGTGCAACGCGCTGATGTCCCAAGAGGAGGGTAGCCACTTCCTCGATGTGGGATCCCTTGGGAGCTGCCTAGCTAAGAACTAGTTTAGTGTCTTTGCTAGAAAGGCGGAATGACAGCCGTAGGGCGAACTTCCCGTGGTAAGACGTCTTCACTACGGTTCGTCCATGCCACCTTTCTCTCTCCTCATATCCCCACGTTGGTCAACAACATGGCCAAGACCACTTTCTTGGACCCTTCGTCAAAGTTTTGAGTACCTGATCAACCTCTCCGGCTTCAGATTCCGACGTCAATTCGCGGACGACCCTGCTTGGGTTTGAGAGGCTTGCAGGACATCATCATCGTCCATCCTAAGTCGCTCCTTTCACGATGTCTGCTACCCGTCTCTTCTTCTTGCTCGCTTGCTTCCTGGGCCTTGGAAGTTTCGTCGCCGCGTCAGATATCTCGTATCAGGGCATCCCCAGCTGTGCCGTAAGCTTATTTCCCACTGACATCCCTTAGCGATGGAATGTGCTGACAGATGCAGATCAAATGTATCTTCCAGGAGATCGGCCATTCGTCCTGCCCCTTAACGGATCAAAAATGCATGTGTAACGATAACGTTTTGGCGGGATACGTGCAGGTATGCGTCGAGGCAAATTGCACTGTCATGGAGATGCTCGGTATGTTACGGAGTCAGATTCCCTTAGTGAAGATGTCAAGGCTCATCGAATATCTACAGCGGCACGCAATTCGTCATTGGCTGCCTGTGGTGTTGCCCCTGCTCAGCAGGATACCGTCATGGCGTGGTTCAGGGCGGTTCTTTTCGCCCTACCAACCTTTTTCATAATCGTGCGAATGGTGAACAAGTTTCTAAAGCTGTCGCCTTGGGGTTGGGACGACACAACCATCGTCATAGCCTATGTATGTTATGCAGAAATCCACCCTCTCTCATGCCCTCGACAAGTTTCCCTGACAATCGCAAAGGCCGTACTAGCAGCTTTTCTGCCAGCAGCATATCTAGGTAAAGCTCAGATTCCGACTAATGAAATGTATCCTCTAACGTCTTCGTATAGCCGAACAAACTGGTGCAGGGAGAGATATATGGGCACTGTCAGAAAACCAAATTACTGATTTTCTTTTGGTAAGGCCGCATCATCAATGCATCTTTGCTTGATTACCTCATGGAGTAAAACTGACTGTGCCAGCTATTTATCATATTCGGTATGCTCTATATGACCTGCCTAGCCTTTATCAAGGCCTCGATCATATTTCTATACCTGCGAATCTTCCCCGACGAAACCTTCCGCCGAATACTTTGGTGTACTCAGCTGTTCAACCTTCTTCTTTGGATCGCTTTCATCGCCGGTACTTTCGGCTCTTGTCAGCCCTTGCACTTCTTCTGGCATGGATGGAAAAGAGATATGGAGGGCAAATGCTTCAACTTGAACGCCTTTGCCATGTGCCATGGCGCATTGAACGTGGCTCTGGATGCATGGATGCTAGTACTTCCAGCAACTCAAGTCTATTCGCTGAGAATGCAGCGCAAACAGAAGCTGGGTGTGATGTTGATGTTCAGCGTAGGAGTTTTGTGAGTACCACAAAGCTGACATGCGAGAATGTTGCTGACTGATAGTTTGAAGTCTCACTGCCGTTAGTGCCTATCGAATCAAGGCCCTTCTCATCTTTGCGACATCATACAACGTCACAGGCAAGTCCGAAACAAGGGACTCACCGTCAGCTATGCACAGTACTGACAGCAACCTCAGCCGACTCATTCCAGAGCTCTCTCTGGTCCAACATCGAGCTATGTGTTGGTATCTTCGTGTCTTGCCTTCCGAGCACACGTCAAGTCTGGAGGAAACTATTCCCTAAGATCCTCGAAGTAACACACCTGTCTTCGAGATCAGCCAGAATGTCTAGATCAGCAAAGGGTTCACACTCTGCCAGCCAAGCCTCACGATCGGCAGCGGACCCCAATGAACGACCGCGACTCGTGTCCTACGAGGAGTCCTCGATAGCGCATCTAGTCGGAGACTTCAACGATATCGACCTCAATAACCTCAGCGATGCGAGCCCGATGGAGAGGGACCCGCCGAAGACGCCTAAAAATAATGTCGTGTTACAGAAGGATCCTGTATCAGGAGGTTCAAGAAGTAGTGATGGAGTCATAAGCCAGAAGGGCTGGGATGAATGAACCCATGAAGGGTTTGAGGATGATTATTCAATAAGAGGTGTATTTCCCACCTCGGCGAAACTCCCGGTATATCGCCTATCTACGATAGCTCCGGAGATGTATGAGGTTGTTATGTGACAAGCTGCTCTTGTCACATTGTCATGCGACTTCATGATACAGGGATGCAATGAAGGGCTACCTAGGCGGGCTGAGTATACCCTCGAGAAAGAGAGTACATTTTGAACACGCAATGGGGACTTGTTGTCGAGACTCAGCGTGAGGCAGACGAGTTGTTTTGCAGACTGCAACTTCTGCTCGGGATACCCAGAGCGACTGTCTGCAGCCTTCGTCAGATAAGGACGGGTTTTGCCTCAATCTTCTTCCGTAACGGGAAAACCCAGTAGAGATACCACCATACTTACATTTCCATACACAGCTAGAGTTAGTCAATAAAACACCAGCAATAGGTGTGTCTTCACCCACATGATGCCGATCAGGATAAATCTATACGAGTTGACGAGGCGCTGGACATGCTCATTGACGAATGATCATCAACCAATCATAGACCCTTTGGTTGTCGATCGCTCAGCTAGCAAAGTCTAGGCTGAGCTGAGGTGCTTCGCCACCAAAGTTCCAAGACCATAGAAGAGGGGCTGAAGTTTGCCCATGCTAGGGTTCGTCATCCTCTATCTTCACTTCTCTCCAAAAGGCAAAGGCCAGAACCATCAAAATGGCACAGCAGGGAGGCACTTATCGCAGCACCCAAGGCATGTTCCCCTCAAGTCACTCTTACTCCATCGTATTCAGGGATTCATTTCGACTGACAGTTGAAATCAGAGGAAAAGCCGTCCATCAAGGAGAGATCCAGCCCCAATCCTCCAACGCAAAGTCGATGCGACGAAAGGAAGCGGAGCGAGGAGGATTGGGAAATTGTCAAGAATCCTAAAGATGAACCACCAGAGCGACAGATTCGAGGCTTCCATAGTAGCTTTGACCTGCAGCTTGGTTGGGGCAAATGGAAGTTTAGCGCTTTGAGTTGGGAGGTGAACGCTGGGAGTCAGCAGTGTGATCATCACCAGCGGCAGGATACTGGCCGGAATTCGGTCGCAGATGGGGGGAGGGAGGATGATAGTGGGAAGCGATGAAATTAGCAACTAGAAGGCTGCCAGATTCTACAATCTCACTCGACTCCTCGAATATGGTCGGCATGGAAGCTGGTGTACCTGCTTTACTTGCATTACATCGTCCGCCTCTGCGAGTTCAAGTTTACGCTTCTTGTAACGAAGATTGAGTACAAAAAAGCTCCGTTTTGCCAATGCGAATAGATTCGACAGATTTCTTGATAGGAAAAGTAGATGCCAATCGTCGTTATGGGGCGGTAACTTCAACAAGACCACCTCGCCGCCGGTTAACCCCGTTTTGAAGGCTCAGATCAAAGCTTGGTTTGGGACTTTCAGTGATCTCAACACATCTATAATACTTCAGAATAGCCGGGTCGGCTATGAAGGACCGAGGGGCAGGCATATGAGGTCAAATGGTTGAGATTCCCTCGCCTTGTCTTTCGTACACGAACCCCTAGAGTGCTAGAAAGACAAGAGAATAACCACTTTGTCCACATGTAGATATGTTGCACAGCAATTTAGTCCATGAGAACCCCAGGGTCCAGGTTTAACCCAGACAATCGCCTAGCCAGACAAATCGAATCTCAATCCAGTTTACAGCGCCTTTAATCAGATGAACCATTCGCTCTCAAGAGACAAAGTTCAAAATTAGGCTTATGGAAATATAGCTTTCATAGAACCCAACAGTGGGAAGCCGAAAAGCACTTCTCCAAGAGCCGCCGCCAACAGACACAACCAGATTTGACCAAGCACACACTAAAACGTATCAACAACTCAACTTCAGTAATCACGTCGCGAACTTATTTCTCCTTTTGAATTGATAGTAGAAAAAGGGAGCGATACTTTCCTCCTTTTCTCCTCCCTTTGTCGGGTGTGACCAACACTTATACCCACTGACTCGTTTGCCGTGAGCAGACCAACTCAATATAAATTGCATACGAGGGGGGATGGACAACGCCAAAACGACGAATGACCAATTCCTCGGGTCCCACTCAACGTCCACCGGCATCTGCATATAGAGTTCATACTTAATAAAACCTCTTTAGATTTAGTTTGCTTGGCAGAGCATCGTAGGGCTTTCGGTCTTTTTATAAACCCATGATCGTCACCCCCCCGAAGGTACCGAAACGGCGGGATGAACTCCCGCGTGGGCGGGTACAAAAGAGAGATTGATTCCCGTTGTTGTATCCAAGTGGACTCGAGGAAAACCTGACTTACCAACGGACATACATATTTCACGATATTCTCACGACAAACATGTACGCCTCTATTCTTCTGACCTCTCTGCTCGCCGCCGGCGGTGCCCACGCTGCCGTGGCGCAGGGCTCATGGGGCGTTCGCGCAGACTACTCCCGTACGTGACAACACATCCCCCCCCCCCCATACTTCCATCCGAACCCCAACCTCCCGGCCCGCTCGGCCGTAGACGAAAGGATAGATCGCGGGCAAAACTTGGGATGACCTCAACCCCAACCCATCCCACCCAACCACGCCACTGACTAACCCACCCCCCCCTACAACAGGCTGCGACGCCGCAACCCCCCTAGAAGTCGTCCTCGACGGCGCCCAAAGCAGCTCCTCCCCCTCGGCCAACATCACAGACTTCTCCATCGCCTCCCCCTTCTCCGGCTCCCTCGTCATCAAGGTCGCCGGCGCCGTCGGCTACGGCAGCCCGTACCCGCCCCAACAGGTCGGCGTCGAGGTCTTCGCCGCCGCGACGGCGGGCGACCCGGGCGTGTGGGCGAACGCGACCGTGACGCCCGGCGTCGGGCAGCCTGCTTCCGTGGCGCAGATTGCGTGGAACACGAGGAGCGATGTGGCTGTTGCGCCCAAGGAGGGTGAGACGGTTTCGCTGGAGACGATCTTTGATGGTGGGAGCTTGGTTGTTTATTACGTGAGTTTTTTTTTCACCCTCTTATCGCCCCTTGAATTTCATGGTGTGCTTCTTTTTGTTGGTTGTGAGGAATGGGTTTGCTGATACAGTGTGATGATGTAGTGCGGTCTTCCTGAGGCTGGTGGACCTGTTGCATGAAGGGGGGATGCTGGTATGATCGGATGAAAGTGGGATACACGACTCGAAGTTGGTTAGATTTGTAGGGTTGAAGAGAGATGCCTCTTACCCCATTGCCTACCTGTTGGTCTCATATGAGCCCAAGAAAGAAACCAAAGCGAACCACTCTCCCAAATTCCCGCCCACTTTCGCTTCTCACGTGTGGAGAACTCTCAAATTATCGTAGTGACGCTCGAAAGCCCGCTCAATTGAGGCTCTAGTATTTGGGCAGTGGTATACAGAAAGATCTAAATGAGGTCTAAAATAGAAAATAGGGGGTATCACAATACACAAGCATGACAGGAGACCAACAGTCACGACCAAGGCCTCGACCTCGAAGGAAAGCGGCGGCCGGGGCGGGGTTCCTAATCCCTTTTGGCCCTCCTCTTTGCCCTTCGCGCCCTCTTTTTATTCTGCTTCTTCCTCTCGGCGCTGATTTTCCTTTTTTGCCAAAACGACTCGAGCCACGCCCAGATCCAGGAGCGCATCATGATGATGATTGTGCAAAAGACTACAGGGCAGGCAATGACCCAGCTGTTTTCTTGGTCAGTACAAGAGCTGCGGAGCGAAAGGGGTGGTCTCAACGTACAAGAATTGAATGCCCATGGGGTTCTGGATATCCGGAAACTTTTCAAAGTTTTGTCCAAAGTACCCAGTCAAGAAGGTCAGGGGCAGGAATATAATGGTAATGATGGTCAACTGCTTCATGCTCTCGTTCTGGTTCGCCGAGATGGTGTTGAAAATGAGATCAATCAGGTTATCGGCGGACCGCTTGATCTGCTGCATGGACTCGGTGATTATGACACAGTGATCGAGCACGTCGCCGAGGTACGTGTGCGTGAGCGGCGTGACGATGACGCCGCTAGCTGGATTGCGTAGCTGGCGCGCCGCCTCGTCCTGTGACAGTTCAGTGCGGTGATCGCGCAGGACGTTGACGAGGTTGTCGATGGGGTTGAGAAAAGTGAGCATCTTGTTAATCTCGCTGACGCAGATGTAGAGGCTGCGGGTCTGCTTGATGCTCGGGCTCGTGAGGACGTCGAGCTCGAGGTCGCCGATGACGTCGCTGTAGACGGCGGTGAGGGGGATGGCGAGGTCGATGATGGCGTCGATGATAGCCTGGACGACGAGAGAAGCGTCGCAGGATTGGCGGAGGATGGTGGAGGGATCGCCGAGGCGGACGGTGATGGGGCGCTCAATGTCCTCGGCCGACATCTCGAAGAAGGAGATGACTGTGTTGTCCGAGGTCAGGAAGATGGCGACCTGCTCGGCGGAGACGGCGAGGCCGCGCGACATGAGGGAGGAGTGGCGCTCCATGTACTCTGTGCGGACCTCGTTGGCCGAGGCGTGGTAGCGCTGGAGGGTGCGGACAAAGGCTGTCTCCTTGAGCTGGGAGAGCTCGCTCATGTTGCGGTTCAGCTGGGCCCCGTAGCCGCTGCCGTCGCCCTGCGTGACAATGGTCGGTCTGCCGGCCCTCTGCCTTCCCGTCTCTGGGTCTGGTCTCGGCTTGCCGCCCATGGTAAAGGCGCGCTTCAGCTTCTTCATGCCCTTCCCGGACTTTGCAGTCTTTACGCTCGCTACGTCGTCCGAATCGTCGTCGCTGCTGCTACTACTGCTGCTGTCGTCGTCGAGAAGGAGGACGAGCTTCTGCAGCGTCATGACGATGAAGGCGTGGTTGGCGTACCAGTCGGCCTTTGTGCGGTTCCTCGTGTTCATAATATCTTCGATGGCGAGCTTGTGCAGCTTGTAGTACTTTCCGCAGGCCTGAATGACATCCCAGCTGAGGCCGTTGATGTTGATCCAGCGGCTCTGGACCCACGGCTCCTGGGGTTTCCGCAGGAAGTCGACAAACTCTTCATTCCTAAACTTGTGTTGAACCATGTTGCCCTGGCTGAAGTCGAAGACAGAGATGTCGCACTCGGCACGGAGGGCGGGCATGGAAGCGTGGCCGCCATCCGACTTGTTGGGATCGAAGCCGGGCTCGGAGCCGGGTTGCCAGCCGGGGCGAGACATCTCAAAGTCTCCGTAGTCCTCTACCGGCTTGAAGGTGCCTGCGCGGCGCCGCATAGGGGATATGTTCTGGTCGGTAGAGGCGCGGGTCAGAGGTGCGCCGACATCATTAGGAGCGGCGACTCGCACGCGCGCCGTGGGCGAGGTCGGGGAAGCGGCATGATCGCGGGTATCGATTTGTAAGGACGGGAATCGGACGGTGCGCGCGTTGTCGTCGGGTTCGCTGATTGTCTTGGACATTGGTGCGCCGAAGGAGTCGGTATCGGGAGACATGACTATCGCACACCCCCCCGGGTCGGTGAGGCAGAGTAGATGTGGTGATGAGGGGTGGAGAGAAGATGGGAGAGATCGGCCGGCCGGTTGGTAGGTAGTTCAAGACATTAATATTTCGAGAAACGAAGCTTTTTGTCGCGTGGCGCTTGGTACGCTAGGGGTTCAGGAACCGCAACGGCGTAAAGCTTGGCTCGGACGGAGGAGACAAGAAAAGGAAAAATGGCAAGTTTCGCGTTGGTCGTGGCGTCAAATCGTTAAATCAGCACTGAGCGTCGCAGAATGGCGTCCTTCAGCCGCATCTAGCAAGGTCGTTTTCTCTGGCAGTGTACGTGAGATGTAGTCCGAGCATCTCAATTGGGCGAGACGAGTTGCGATGGCTGACTAGAGGGCGAGACTAGACGAATATGGATGGATGGGTGTCTGTAGATGAATGGATGAACTGAGATATGTTGGTGGCTGCAGAAACGTGGGATGGTTTGATGTTGTGTGACGCCGGCAGAAGAGAAGCGAAGCGAAGTGACCACTTCCTCGGCACATTCTCCAGGAGAATGCAAAGCAGGGCAGGTTAGGGATCGGTAGTCACGATGAACCCCCTAATGACGTCGCTTGGCAGTACAGGAAATTGTACGAATACAGGTAACAACTCCACTAATTACTTCCACCATCCGTTATTGGACGATACAGCGGGTGACAGCGATTAAGCTCTCGGCTGGTGCCGGTTATCCGCGTCAAGCTTCCCCTGCTGCAATGATCACCTCCAGATGACCCAGTCTGGACTCTAGCCTTGACCCATCCGACTGGAAAGTAATGTCAAGCTTTTGGCTAGCGGTTGTGGTCCATATCTCGGAACTTGAATGCCGACTGGTGTTGGCAGACTTTGACCTTGGGAAGAATCATGTCCTATTCTGTCTCTTACATTGCTGATGATCGTCTAATTCCATGTACTTTCCAACCTGACCAATTTCCCATATAAAGATGCCCGGGTAATCCAATCCCAAATATAAATGTCGTCAACGACGAAGAAAAGAAGTATACCACATGAGTAAGATCACACAAATATGAAGCTACTCAGACAAACATACCGTGTCCTCTAAGCAACAATCTTGTACGTCTCACTATTGTCCCCCTTACAAGCAGCCGTGACCAAACGTCCCTGACTCCCAGGGACAACGCACGTAGCCGCATCATTCACAGGCGACCACAAGAAGCTGTCCCCAAAGACCTTGACCAGCTGCCCGGTATTCGTAAGCCCCTCGCCCGCAGCACGACCTCCACACGAGAAAAGCGTGACCGTGTCGCCGTCCGCCCGCCGCCCGTCAGTGCTGACGCACCCATTGGTCAGGCTGCTGACAATCAGCATCGCCCCATCCTTACCGTCGTTGTGCTTCCCCTTGGAAATCACGTCAAACTGCTGGTTGGGCGAGGCCTTGTCGCACGCCGCCACGGCGACGGGGATGAGGTTCTGACGGAAGTCGCCGGCGGTAGGGTCAATGGAGAGACACTGCCCGTTGGGCGCCTGGATGGCCACCTTTGTGAAAGCGCGGGTGGCCGTGTCGTCGAAGGCGTTGGCTTCGGCTGCGGCGGTCGGGTTCAGGGTGCCGCCGGCGCGGGAGACGGGGACGGGCGAGGTGGGATTCGCGGCGGGGATGTTCCCCTTCTGGCCGTTTCCGGCGGCTGGGGCTGAGGAGGCGACGGGCTGTGCTACCGCCGGAGCGGACGTTGCCTCGGGTTTGGCGGTCGCGATGGGGGCATTGCCCTGGCCGGGCTTGATCGTGGTCGTTAGCGTCATGGTGACGGTCTCATCGGTGTCATCGCATCCGGCGGAGGGCTTCCCCGTCACAACGGCCGCTGCTGTCGTGGTCGGCGCAGGCTGCTGAGCACCGTTATCCGCTCCATTGCCAGTTCCGTTACCTCCCGCGCCGGCTCCTCCGCCGACTAAGGCAGGCTTGCCGCCAAAGGCAAAAGACTGGGCCTTGTCGTCGGCGTTGCAGTCCGCAATGTCCACCACCTTGCCCTTGACCGCGAAACACTTGCCCTTCTCATTCTTGGGCTGGAAGGTTGAGGGTCCCGCTCCACTGTCTACGGCGAAGAGCTGGGAGTCCGTCACCAGGCCCTCGCCTGCTGCGCGTCCGCCGCAGGAGAAGAGGTTGACCTGGTTACCCGCCGCGCGACGGGGATCAAAGTTGAAGCACGCTTGCGTCTATAATTATGAATCAGTATCGTCTTCCGCTTTGGGAACCCACATGAAGGGGTTACAGGGAGTGAAACGAACCAGAGTGCTGACCATGAGCATTGAGTTGAGCTGATCATTGTGCTTTCCAGCAGTGATGACGTCCCAACCCTGGCCGTCCGTCGCTCCGCAATCAGCTACCTGGATTGGGGTGAGGTTCGCCCGGAAGTCTCCAGATAACTTGTCGACGAAGAGACACTTGCCGTCAGCTGTCTTGATCTGGACGTCGGAAAAAGCGCGCGTGGCGGTGTCGTCGCGGGGATGTGCCTCCTTTGTGGCCTCCTCGTTGAGCTCCGTGACAGCTCTGCGCTGGAGGGCGAGAGGGCTGGCGGACACGAGAAGTGTGGCGTAAGCCAGAAAAGTTGCGGTTTGAGAAATCATCATGAGAAGTGAAAAGAGATAAACCTGTAGTAAATGAGCGTATGGGAAAAGAATGAAAGCCTGCACAGCAGGGTGTGTTGTCAATGAAACGAAGGAAGATGGAAAGAGGAAAGACACGTAAAGAAACCACGATATCACCAAAGTCGTTGCAGCAGTATCCAAGGTGAATGCTTCATGTGAGAGAACAGGACGGCAGATGGACCCTTATACTCGGCCCTTGACGAAGACCAACCCATCTGTCGCCTGTCATCCGTCATCCATCATCCGTCACTGAGCATCCAAGCGCCATCCCATTGACGCCAAAAGCCTCCGTCGGTCCCATGCAATCTTGTCCCTTCTTGCTGTCCCCCAAGAAGCGCGAGCGCTAGGGTCTGAACATGGTTTCACGAGATTCCTCTCTTGCAGCGAGGTTTCGTTTGGCGGCCTGGGCCCGGGGAGATATGGGAAACCTTCCTCGGCTAAGCCCCCCTCCCTGCTGCGCATCATTCCCATCTTTCCGGTGACAAGCTGACAGAGTGCCGTCCGAACACTCGTTCAGCGGATAACTCGGTGGAGATTGGGACTCGAGAGTTTCTGTGGTATGCACCACATGGCAAAGTAGCTGCACAAGGTTCAAACGCAGCTAAAGAGAATTGAGCCTCCGGTTGGTTGGGATGGCCCGGCGCGTGAAACGGCTCGTGTAGCAAGGCGGCAGATCCTGAAGGGATGGCGCGGGGATCGTGGCGGGAAGATGAGACGAAAAAGGAGCTGGCTGTTGAGGTGTGAATTTGTGTGTGCCAGGGGGAGAAAGACGGAGAGTGACAGGGACGCAGGAGAAATAAGAAGAGGTCCGCGCTTGCTGGCCCCTGCACAATGAGCCGGCGATTGGATGGGAGGGCTGCCGGCTGCCGGGTGGGGCTTCACGGCCCCTCCAGTATCGACCGGGTGGGGCACTCGTCGGCGCTTGCCGGACAATTCCATCGGGGGACGTACCCGCCACAGTAAGTACTATTTCAAGCTTAAATTCATGCTCAATTCCTGTTTTCTATTGTCTCACGAGCGCTTCTGCCTTCTTCACGTGAATCATTCTGATAACCCGTCGCACTACGCTCATGTCTCACGACAGATTCCAGTGCGACCTAGAGGACCACAGGCCGATCCCTCAAGGTTTCGAATTATCTTGAGGTCCCGTCTGACAATCCCTTGCGAAGAAGTTAGATAGTCAAGAACTTTGGATAGCATCCAACGCCTTTAATATTTTGTGTTCATTATCATATCTACGGCTGCCTGTGTTTCGTAGGTATGCCTTTTCAACCCAACTGTCTTTGCATGCCGCATTCACAGCCAGGATATGTACTTGATTCCATGCAAAAGTACACCGAGAGTTTTTCAAACCTACTACCACATGAACTAGGCTCATTTGATGCCGTTCAGTTCATTAAACCCAGCCTGGACCAGACTTTGCCTCCCCTTCCGGTCTCCTACGCCAGTCCAGTAGAATAACCCACCAAGAGCCTTGCTCTTCGCATACTGGGCCTTGATGGCCACAGATCTCGGCACATCAAAGGTCATGAACCCATACTTGGGATCAATATAAGTGGCAGCGGCCGCAGTCGTATCCACAGTTGCCTTATCTACACTATCATTCGACATGTCGCAGTAATCAACCTCAGCAGACCCCTTTGTCGATCCGCCCGGCCCTTTCGCATTAGGAAAGGTGCGCGCGTACGCCGGGATCCCGAGCAGCACTTTACGGCTCGGGAACCCGTTGCTCGTGACGTAGGTGATGCCGTCGGCGCAGGCGATCTTGAGGTTCGGGTTGTTGCTCACCAGCGTCTTGGAGGCCAGGAGCTGCGCGTGGTTGCCCGAGACGTCGGTCCAGGGTCCTGTGAGGTCGTAGCACATTAAGTTCAGGTAGTCAAGGAGAGAGGCGGCTCGTCTAAGGTCGATATTCTTGAGCACCCATTGGCCCGGCGGGAGGGCTGATGTGATGAGGTACTTGCCCGCTGGCATCTGTTGGCGGACGTCACTGAGGAGGCTGATGTAGTCTTTGCCCTGCTTGGCGTCGCTTGGGTGTTCCCAGTCAACTTGGACAAGTGTTAGAGCTGGAACCTAGTGAGAATACGAGGATAGGAAAACCTACTATCAACGCCGTTGAGCTGCCACTTGTCGCAAAAGGCCTTGATCTCCTTGGCAAAACGAGCGCGCGCGGTAGGATTGGCGGCCAGGGCCGGGAACTCGGCGCTGCCCGTGCCACCGCCGACGGACACAAGGGTGCGGATGCTCGGCTTCGAGGCCTTGAGCTTGGCTGTGGCCGAGAGACAGCCCTTTGTCCCGTCGACTGGGATCTGGGTATCGGCCCAGTCGTCAATGAGCTTCAGTGATCCGTCCGTGTTGACTTTGATAAAGGCGTACATGACGTGAGTGACGGCATTGACGGGCATCGATGCGGGAGTTTGGCCCTTGTAAACCCGCCAATTGGGGTAGTAGACGGCGTTGACCCAGCCTTGAGACATGACGGGTTGGACGAATGCTGTGAGGGCGAGCAGGTTGAAGATCAGAAAGGACAGTCGTCTCGGTGAGCTCGATGATGAGGTCAAGATCGAGGTCAAAGTTGAGGTGTGTGTTGATGTCAATGTTGAGGCTGACGGCGGGACGGCGCGGGGGAGGGGTCGTCCTCGGGCCATTTTTGTAGCTTAGGGCCCGTCCGGGTGCGGCGGGGTGGCCCAGTTCGCTGACGTGGGGACCCCCGGGGGCTGTGCTTGCCGTAGATGCCGCTGCGAGGCGCCCAGCTGGATCGCTATTGGGGAACCGGAGACAGCCAAGGCAGGTGCTGCATCGGGTGCAAGTTTCCTCCTCTTCTGCCCTCGTATTCTCCTTGATTCTCCACGGTTCCTCTCGTAAACGTCTTTTTCTTCTTTTCGCCTTGCCACGATCAAACCGATGACGGCCGAATGAGAAGCAACCAACAGCCTAGGAGGAAACAGCCTTCAGCTCATCGAGAAAACCTGCTTTCGGTGCTGGTGCTTGTTCCTAAAAGAAGAGAGACACCGCACGCGACTTGGGACTGGTAGAAAACAATCTTTTCCGGTTCCTGATCTTCCCCTTTTTCTCCCTTTCGTGCCTGAACCCAGGGGAGATCTTATACCGACCGCATGGGACATTGGCTAAATTCTCGAATTCCAGGGAAATTTTGGAGGAATTCGATTGATTCCTTGGCGGTTTCCTTCGATAGGCCACACGACAAATATGTGGACGATTCGTAAGCCTGTGTCCCTCTCGGAGAATGCGACCATGCACGTCTTTTTAGCCAGGCTGTTGCATTAAAAGACTTGCAGGCTTGCTCTCACCCCTCTTCATCGTTCGGGGCAATCTACACCTGCAGACGGGAAGCAAGCTCTAGTAGCTGTGTGCTCGGAGGAATGTCGACCGCGTTCTCGATCGAGCGGCGGGATTCCCGTTTGACGGCGGACTCCCGGAGAGGAGAGGAATCAGATGGAGTCTGAGAAGGAGACTGGAGGAAAACAGAAGCCCCTTGGCTCGCCCTGCATCCAATGCTGCCCAGTGCCGCCAAGGACCACGCGGCAAACAGCAAAGTCGTCGCGGATTGAAGACTTGAAGGGCACGCTGACCGGCTGATTGCCTAGGGAGGAAGGAGGTCTTTATCAATGCACATGTGGCCGCAGGGCTCATATCAATTGGCATCGACCGCGGGGACGGGGACCGATCTCCCGGAAGGCTTGCATCGCGATCAACACTTCGACGGAGTCTTTCAGCCGGTGGAGAGACCATTTCTCAGGGCACGCATGGCTTACCGCTTGGCAGCGAGGCGTCGGACGGATGGCCTTGGCCGTTAGGTGCGGCCGGTGAGCAACAAGGGAACACGACGATGAATGCGGCCGCGGCGCCACGAGACATCTTCGCGCTCCGGTGCAATTTGACGCAAGCGGAACGACGCCTCCCAAGACTACGGAACCTATAGAGAAGGTGGACGTGGCGAGGGACAGCTTATTAACACTGCCGCGTGTCAATTTCCGCCCAATAGACAGACCTCTACCAAATTCGAGCAGCGGTCACGAAGTAAACGACGTGAAGCACGACATATGATCGATTGCAGGGCCAAGACGGCCTTTCGCAAAGACCGGCCGTTTGACAGCGGACAGATGCAGCGCGGAGTTTGAATTGAGAGAACTTTACCTTCGGATTAAATCAAATGTCTCGAGATTTCTCTCTAGAGCTACTTCTCAGCCGCATAAATGAACCTTGGGGAAGCACCAGGCATGTCTCATTTCCTTCAGCTGGGGCAGCATAGCTCAAAGGGCCTTGACAGACGTACGAAGCGACAGAGGAATGCCGGCTACGTATAGCAATCTCATTGAACCAAATCCCAGGATCAGTCCGCTGGTTTCTGCTGACAACCCCCTAATCCTGGGAATATGCCCTGAATTCTGGGATCAGTACTCCGTACGGATACTCCGTACGGATACTCCGTGACTGCTGGTGATCCTCTAATTCTTGGAGCAATGCGTATGCCGCTGTTGGTTGACCCTGATCCTGCGGGCTTCTGTTCGCACTACTCCATCACGAACCTTGTCGAGTAGCGCAGGTGTCTTGTCTGCAGTCACATTCAATGTTATTCTGCACCGAGCCACCCCAATGATCGACCCTACTAGCGGGTCCAAAACCTCAGCCAGCCGCCTGTCACATCGTCGGTCTTTGTACTTTTTTTTTTTTTTTTTGGAAGTCTGTCTTCACGGCGACCTCCACGAAGCCCTATTTAATCTGACTGCTTGCCCCAGGCGAGGAGCTACTCTACTCTACCGTTCAAGTGCAATCAAACATGGTGAGCGTGCCAATTTCACTCTTCTCTTTTCTCCCTATGTCAAGCCCCAAGAGCGCTAAAGAAAGCCTGACCATCCAATCAACCCGTATCCAACACGAACCCTCCACCACCATCCATCATAAGCACCTAGCCCCCTGGCCATTGGCACGTGGCATCGCAGACTACATCGTTGATCTTCGAAGTCGCTCGTCAAACCGGCCGCGGACGAGAGCTGTCAAGTTACGTGCATTAGCAAAGAGTCACATGTTGATGGTGGCAACCTGTCGGGTTACTTATCTTTTTTGAACGCGTGGCCAAGACTGGACTGTCTTGACCACCAAGCCCCCTGCCTACTAATTGAAGTTCACCGCGTGGTACCCAGAAGGGCGTGTACGACCAGCGATGAAGCCTGTAAAGGCAAAAAGTTCCAAAAATTTCCGTCGGGTGCACAGGCCTGAGCTCACACTCAGGATCTTGGGCCCATTACAGTCCCAAAATCTAAGGACGTGCAAGGTAGGCGTACTCGACACCGCCGCGGATCCGATTCACAATGAAGTCGGTCAACCACCTCGCGACGAAGACAGCGACGACTCGGGAATCTACGTGCCGAAGCCCATCGACCCCAAAGAGGTGCCGGAACATGCGCTCAATCGCCATCCTTAGCACGGGCACGAGCACCCAAAGAAGAATGCAGTCGAGGAGGGGGGGGAGAATAAACATATTAATATCGTTACGATGGGTGTAAGTTGCTCTCGGTGAAGAAGAAAGGGAGAAGAAGACAGAGTTCGATGGGGACAGGCGAGGTTTTGTACAGGTCAAGGACCTAGCAATGCCCCAAGGAAAGAGCATTTCGCGAGCACTCGGAGTAGCCCAGCTTGGGTATGGGAAGGAAGGTCTCTGGCACGAAAGGAAAAACCGGTTCCAAGTGGGAGGAAGGCACGCATAGCTTCTTTATTGCAGGAGCCGTCCCCAACACCTACTTGCCGGGCACATCCCAATTCGTCGGAGGAAGGTAGGGTACGGTACGGAAAGTCTTATCAAAGTAAGGAACCCACAAAACCCGCGTAACTCCCCTTCTTGTCAAGGGAGGCAGCCGGCCTGGGTGTGACTGCAAGGTCGACCTTGAGGGCTCTTGCTTAGAGCTAAGCGTACCTCCCTCAAGCAATATTCCAATGTCGCAGCTTCCAACTAGATTGACAGTCAGTTCCGGCGGCAAGGACGCCAGTCAAACCTGTCTGCTGCTGACGAGACAAAGGGACTGTGGTGGATGTAGATGTATCGTCGGCCAGAGCTGAGAGTTGGCGGGATGGCGGGGTCGCGTCAAAAGGCATCACGCCGTGTATTTGGCGTTTTGCAAATCTCCATGAAGATCGTTGCCAAGCGTTAGCGACCTTGAGGAGGTCCGTCATGTCGCCAAGAATCTGGTGCAATGTGGCGATTCTATCAAGAAATATCGAATGGAAAAGGTTAGTAAGAGTTAGGTAAACCAGTAGATACATGAAAACTTACCACACACATCAGAAACCAGGTGATCACAAGTATAACTGGAGGCAGAAACGCAGTTTTTCGTAAAAAAGTACGAGGTACTCTTGAAATACTCGAAATACCGAGAAATAGGTACAGTATAAGAGAAAAGCTGACCAAGTTAACAAAGAAGCAGCTTTCTATTCCTTGGAGGGGACAGGGCCCAGGCGAGAAGAAGCCGAATTGAGGAGGGATGCGTAAATAACCCGTTTGAATCTCGAAGCATCGCTCGCCGAGAGTTCGAAACAACGGCTTATTGTAGTCTCGAATAGGATCAGTGGCGAGAGCCCATCGATAGATCTCATAACTCCCATCTGTTAGGAGTGCGAAAGTTGCGCTGTCCATTGCCAGGCAATTCTGGGGCCTAGATCCAGACTTGAACCTTGTGTAAGGTAAGCAATTGGGTTGCGTTGATCTTGAATTGAAGAACAGGATAAAGGCAGGGTAGCCGTTGTATCGCGAAAGTGTGATCTTGATTGGGACGTATTAGGGGTCGAGGAACGACGATGTCAGAAACCTTTAGTGGGAGGCTTTAGTAGGGACGATGAATGGTTCGGAAGTGCGTGTACATGAAATGGTTTGGCAGGATTCATCAACAGACTGCTTATTTATAAAGGCCTGCCGCTACCGTTGTGGCCGATTCTGTCGTGTAAGCTTTGGACATTGAAAAGCTTAACGCTACCACGTTTCGCGTGTTGTGTCTTGTCCATAGTCACCCCACGTTACAGTAATCCAATCGTCGTGCTTAGGGCCTTGAGGGCCAGGGCGAAGTCATCTCTAGACAGCGTAACTTACCTGACGGCCATCAGGGTTGTTGTTGAGAAGTCTCCTTCAGCCACGTTCTCACTACTAGGTGATTGAAGAGTATGGTCTCTGATAGGGCAGGCTACCTTGAAAAGGGACTGTATATTGAATGTATTATGAACTGTGTATTTCGTTCAATGCCTGTTGAACATAAAGGACGACGACATGCTTGGAGGTCCAGATGGACTGTGCCTCCCCTAAGCATGATGAGAACAGCATCCATAAATGGGCAAATGGAAAAACACATTCCAAATGGCAAGAGATTGGATTTTGCACCACCCTATCTAGTAAAGATGCCTTGAAGCAGCGGGTAATTCAGCTACACCTCGCCGGCAGAGTGGCCATATAAGCTGAGACACCCGTTTCTAGATCTTACCACGAAGCAAACGACGACAAAGCGACGGATGCCTTCTATCTCACAGACCACGCGTTGATTTGGCAAGCTTTACAAGCGCTAGAGAGCATGGACATAGAACTACCGATGGTAACATCACGGGACAACCCAAAGCCGAAATTTATACTTCGAAAGTCGTTCAGCAAAACATCATCAAGAGTTTCACCACACAGAATCCAGTGTCCCAGAAGAGAATGCTCGCGGTTTCACGAACTCCATCAAACACACGCATCTATTTCCGCACAAAAGACGCAGCGCTGTTTCGTGCCATGGAAAAGGGTCTTTTTGACGAATCATCCTCGAGTGAAGTTTCTCAAGAAGGCTGGGATAAGATGATCGAAGTCTGGAAGAACACCGTCGACTGTCAAAAGCTGCATGAGGATAATACCGATGTCGATTGGAACGAGCCGCTATGCTTTGCATTATCGATTGCCATGGCGCGCAACCAGAAGTCAATGGATACGCGGGCACCGGAAGATATGTCAGAGCACGCTTTGGCATTTTTACTTGAGAGATCATCCGACAACGGGTTGTTCCCAGGAAAGCCTGATCAGCAAGGTTCGCCTTGCATGTACAAGGACGAGATTGCACGAGACAATTTAAGGGGAGTTACCTTCGAAATCCCGTACCTTTTTTGGAAGCACTCTTCTTCTCTCGGGGTCAAGCCTGAAATTGTCAAGGGTTCCCAAGAGACGAGTCCGACAGACGATACGAAGTCCCCTAGCTCCAGATCTTCATCTCAGCCGGAATTCAACAGGAAGATTCTTTCACTTCTCATAGATCTCACGCAACAGAAACGAGAAAAAAACGACAAGAAGGCCTCTAGTTCTTCCATGAAGCATCACTTCCCGTTCGGCAATACAATAGAGCTACAAAACATTGTCGAGCTTGAAGACGAATGGCTGTACAACAAACCCCTCTTTCTCAGCCAAGATGCTTTGGACATGCCAAAGACAACTGATGACACGCCTATTCTGGGTGTTGTGATCGATGTGCCCAAGGCTGGCAAAGGAGCAGAGGCTAGGAAGGAAGACTCTCGGTCGGTAAAGATATCTAGGGTCAGCACAATGGAAAACCTTTTGGACCGGAGGCTCAGAACGCCCAAAGATGCTAAGAAAAGACTCTGGGCCATGTTCTCCGCTGGACCGGATGATATCACTCATTGTGAGAACACTGTTGGACCAGATCCCATTACGCAGCACCAGATGGCCAATTTCCACCAGAGCCACAAATCTTTTGAAAAACATTTTGACGAGGAGACTGTGGCAAAGCTGAGTACATGAACGACTGGGCTTCACTTGTCATTCTACGACATTCTTGAGGGAAACAAATCTCAGAAAGAACCGCAGGATACAGGGGATCTAAGCCTGCCGCCTACAGAAGCAAAGCTTGTCGATACCTTCCTGACGAGAGTTCCCACAAGCTATCACATTGAAGGGAATTTTTTTATCGATACTGGAACTGTCGCTACTGGGAATTAGATCAACACTGGAAGAAAAGCGACGGCTCACATACGAACAGTCTTGATGTAAAAGACCTAAAACTTTTACTAGCAGAGGTTGGAGAACATCCAGACAGAATAACACAAAACGAAGATACTTCCACAAGGGATGAAGAAATCAGAACACATATCCGAACACATATAAGAACTCTTCAAGACGATGACCACTCGTCAATCACGGATGAAGATCGTAGCCAGAGGTCCACAGAGCCTGACATGCATATCAGCAGGACTGTGGTCGAAGCGATGGATGACTCTTATGCTCAAGACTGAGAAGGAACCCACGGCTCAAGGTTTACAGAAAGGTCCTTGGCAACAAAGACGAGTCCTGGAGCTTTTGCTCGTGAGGAGAATACTCAAAAAGATGTTCAAAAGCTCGGGCAAAATCCTGAAGATGGCTCGACCCAGCATCGAAAAGGTGAACTCGCTGGCTGTCGAGCATAATAAACAAGGTGATTTCGACAAATTTGACTTCAACGACTTTCGAGTCGCCCGTAGGTGTTTCCAGCAAGTTCAAGACGTCCTTCAAATGGTAGAAGGAGATCTGGCGGGGAATTTGGCACAGATGGAGTTATGGCGCACTCGGGAAAAAGACCGTCAGGCAGAAAAGCCGCGATGGACCTTGAACGACGAAAACCGCCACCGAGTTATCATTGTGAAACAGCGTCGGGCGAACGACATCCAGAAGTTTACCTACGTTACTGTCGTGTTTCTACCTCTAGGTTTCGCAACTGGGGTGTTCAGCATGAGCGGTGCACCTGCTGGTCAAACCCTCGTTAGCATGGTGTTCACCGCGATCGTGTCTTTGGTTGTCACTGCACTGATGCTAGGTGTCACGCAGGCGTTCGACTCTAGGACACTCACCAAGTGGCGAAAGCAGGCCATCGAGGCTGTATCTGCATTCCCCAAGAACTTACAGACCATATATAAGAAGAAGCTGGCGGACCCGGAGAGGGCAGACGCTTCAAGGTTGGGTGGTGGGGCTTGGGCTTCGAGAGAACGAAGAGCTTCGCTGGAGAGGAGAGCTTGAGAGCCTGGTGCCCGTCGCAGCGGTTCATAGATTGACCAGAGTCTTTGCTAGTTCGAGAAACGTAGCTTGATTGTTTTAGTTGGTCATTTTGTATTCCACACGCTGCAGTTGTTCAACCGGGGTTCCCGTAATCGCGTTTCCCTTTGTATCGTTGGCCTTTTCAATTGATTTGCTCAGGATACGATGCCACTTCTCTGTGCATTTGATGCTCCGACTGCATTCCCATAACTACATGTAACACCTCTGGCCTTCTAATTCACCACTCTCATTCCACAACTAGCCCAAAGAATTTGTCTACATCCAGCAGGGCAATAGAAGAACAGGTGATTGCGGCGTGATATGTAAAGTCGATACTGATGTCGGTTGCGACGCATCAGTGACTCGGGCTGTTGGCCCGCGCCTCAGCGCTGCACCGAGCTTCTCCCTTCTGACGCGAAGGGCACTTCAACACCCCAATGCCAACATCGTTCGCAAGGAAAAGAGACTCGTCTGTCCCAATTGTAAAAACCTCTTTCAATACGTGTGAAATCGGCTCGCGTCACTGTCTTCGTAACACTCGGTTCTGATGCTAATGGCCTATCGGGATAGACGGAAGAACCTCGGCCTCGCCCATAGCTTAGTCGACTGAACAACTCTACTGTCACCGAATTTGATAAGCCCTCAATTCAATACCATCATTATCGCCATCCGTAACAAATCGAAGTCCATAGTACGAACGACCTGTATATAATCCAATCAAACTATCGCTCAGAATGGTCCGTAGGCCAAAGTTTTCTACTATTGAGTTGACGATCTCTGGGAATAGTTCAACATTTCTAGAGAGGTTGATCATGGGACATCATTTCCTGCTCAAGACCATCCCAAATAACACCTAGGACACATTTGGGAGCCCCTCAGAGGCAGACCCCGCGTTGCGCCTCCCCTCACCTTCCCCTGCCCAGCCAAGCTGCATCTAGTACTATCCCTTAAAATGGCGTGATGGGGTCAACATGGCTGGCGGGAGGCAAGGGATATTGACAGCCACCCACGTTGCAATCACAACGTAGGGATTGGTGGAAAACGAGGGCGCAGGCGACGCTACGAGCTAGCTCGCGCGGTGAATGCAAGCGCTACAGATGATGTCTTCCAAGAGGAGAAAAGTATGAAGAGCTTAAGCATAACCAATCGTCATGCTCTCACGAGGGGTCTCTTCAGGTCTCTACAGGAAGAGCCAGAGGAGCCAGCCCCGCGGATACCTACCGATCGAATGCAGCGGGAGGCGATGGGTTCTCTCTCGAGGAGAGCCGGCTGGGGTGTCCGCACCGGCGCCGTGGAGGCGGAGGGTCCAGAATCCAAAGCACGCAAGCACTCAGCTGCCGGCTTGCCCGGTGATCTCTCATCCCGCGAGAATAATCTGCCGCAATTGCGAACTATCGCCAATGGATGTGTTCCAGCCTTCTCTTTACACAGACTAGAGCGGCACACTTCTTGATCCCGAGGAACAGATATCGAGCTACCTTGGCCCTGCGTTGGCTTCCTGCAACTCTTCTGCAAAGGGAGCTTTTGATCACACCCGGCGACTTGGTAGCCAATTCGCAATCGCCTCGCTTCTGACGGTGCTGGGCGAAGAGAGGAGACATCCGATCACGCGGTTCGGATTGGGCTCCGTACCCTTCAGGTGCTGCCGCGTAGCTCAGGTGGGAAGTCGGGACGGTTTCTTCCAAAGACATTAGGCAAAAAAATGTCGAATCTTTTGCCATCTCGTTTCTGACAAGCGTCGCAATCATCGGCCAATCCAATTAGCAATACCACGCGCGTCCGGCACTGTTGTTCAATTTCGGCGGCGTCAGCTTCGGCGCTTGACTCGTAAAGGGGGTTCGTCACTCCGTGTTTGACTGCTGTCACTCGCAAGTCGCAGAGCAGAGGAGACGACACGTCTTGGCAAATCAATGCTGTTGCAGATCTTGAAACCTTCCAATCGCCCATGCTTCAGGTACGACGGTCTTGGCGTCCCATCGGGGCATCCGGCGGAAACATGAAGACAAGAGGGAAGACGAGGCTGCGAAAAAGGATGTTAGAGAGCTGAATTTCGGCGGGACTCCGCAAAGAATTGGGACCCTTTGGAGTTGTCCGCCTTGACAAGCGTCTTGGGAGATGGAGACGAGAGGAGTACCCTCACCCAAAGTTGGCTCGCCGGCCGTCGATCTCGGGCGTCGTTAGTCCTCCGTATTCCGAGTACCACTCTGGGAGAGTCTGGGGTTCCGTTTCTTGAATACGATGCGACGGCGCTGGCCAAGCAGCTTAGCAGAGCGGCGCCGTTCCCAGTGAGCGCATCCGTATTTCTGTTACTGCCAATGAGACTTGAGCAGTTCAGCTGGGCAAAAACACCACAATTTCTTACGAGACCAGATCTTTGACGATGCGCCGCCTGACGTGGCCATGCATCGTGACGAAGAGCAGGGAACATCGCTACCACTTTCAGGCTGACGTCAAGGCCGCCCCGCGGGAGAGAACCATGTCTCGTCAGCTCATGGATTGCTCCATGTGTCTCAGTCAGAGAAAATCAGTTATCCCGAAGATGGTGAGAGTGCTGTCTTGGGTGCCCCACACCGGGCCCGCTCAAAGGCGACGAGCGTCATCTCCCCAGATATCATCGCGCACCTTCAGCGTCGCATCGCAGCTGGGGAGCGTTTGCTTCAAACTTCAAGGTGGTCTGGAAGAACAAAAAACAGGGACCTGTCACTGGATGGAGCTGCAGGCTGACGAGCGTTTCGGTGTAGTTGATGAATAAACGTTGGCTGATTTATCTGCACAATTGACAAAAGTACATACAGAATAGTAGAGTAAAAGCCTCTTCCGTTGGTTGTGCTTCTGGCCGTCGATCATGAACCTGAGCTCAGCGACTTGCATCGGCAATGTACTCTGCGGTCAGTCAAGCGGTCAGGCTGCCCGGGAGGTGGGCAAGATGAGATGCCGCGCCGGGTCAGCACATACCTCCATCCATCTTCTTCTCGTCTCTTTCGCCTCCCTTGCGCCCGACTATTGCTTGCTTCAGAATGGACTCAACCAGCGGTTGAGTGATCGCGGACAGTGATGCGAGAGAAACAGAACCAACAAAGCGATGCCCGCGATGCGACGTACGACACGACGCGGGGTTCCGGCAGGCTGGGGTATTCCTAGTCTACTGGGTCTTCTGGGGTCCTCTAGCTTTTTACAGCCAAGACCCAAGCATCTTGGCCCCCCTCTAAAGATGGAAAAGACGAAAGATTGGGATCCCACGTCCCCTGTAGGATACGGGTTGCGGCGGCGTCGGAGACTTCTCATGGAGCACTGGGTTGGTCCCAGTATCATGGTTCCTATTCTACCGGCCCTGTCTCTCCAAGACTCTCCAAGACCAGATTGATTAAGCAACCACCCCCAGTCACAGGGCCTGTCAAGACTTCAGGACAGTCCCAAGAATCGAACTCTATCAGCAGACCTCGCTCAACCTGCACGGCAGAAACGAGTTCGTCCCTTTTGTCGCGCCGTGAATCGTGGCGCTGCGCACTATGCTTGTTTCAGCCTCTGTCTCCGAGCACCGGCCATTTAATTCTCGCTCTCTATAGCTTTTGTGTAGGGTGTCTAGACAGTTTGGACATAGGCTGCGGACGACGATGAAGCGGGCTCTGCATAGGTCTGCAGCAGTAAAGCGAGAAACGCAACGTGAACAACTCCCGACGGTCCTCGAGGACATGCGTTTCCACGCGGCGCAATGTGGTGAACAGGGGTCCTTTTCTGACCGGTCTGTCAGCAGCTGCATCATGGGGAGCACTCCCCTCTTCTCTCACTCAACTTTTCTCAAGCTCTTATTCAACAGAGTCCGGCGGTCGCATTGCCAAGCCACTATGCACCGAGAGACCCGATCATGACAGGGGACCATCAGAAAGAAACTGTCAAGGAAGGCCTGGCCCGCTGAGACTCGGCTTTGCTGTCTGCCCATCTTCTCTGATGGGGGTTGGACAATAGCAGTAGCTGACGGACGAGACCACGACAGGCCAAGCTTCATCGTCACAACATGACAAGTTCTGAAGGTGGGAAGCGCACTCGTCGCTCAATGCGCCTAGGCGGCGGCGCGGGAAGAGAAAGAGAGAGCCAAGATATCGTCGTCTTACGCGGGGCCATTCCGATATTTCAGGGTTCTCGAGGTCACGCTGTACGGCGTTCATAGGGCCATGAGGTCCCATCCTACGAGAATTGACGACACCCCCCCAGTTCCTGCATCGCAGCAAAGTTCCACGACGTCCTCGTATTTCACGCCCGGCCGAGAGATGGGTTCCCATAAGGGCTTTGGACGATCGCCATCCAGAGAGACTTCAGAGAGCCCATCTGCGAGCCAGTCGCAGTCTGCGGTTGGGCCTTGGCACACGTCCCTGGTGCATTGGGCATGCCTGGCTTAAGTTCAGAGTCAACAAATGGAAGACAAAAAGTGAGAGCATGCGAACAGGTTCATCCTCTCGCTCAGCGACTCAGCAACTCAGCTCCGTTGTCGTCTTACCACACCAGCCAGGGGTCGTCCCCTTCTCCTTCGTCCACTTCCGTCCCTCCCTCTTCCAAGTCCCTCCTCCCTCCCCCCCCTCGCGCGCGCGCGTGTGTGTGTGTGTGAGACACAAAACTGTGAGCAGCGTGGCAGCTAGGTACTGTGAAATGCTAAGCGCTTTCCGTATTCCGCCCCAGGCAGACGGACAACGACTCGCACTAGCACGATGTAACTTAATCCTTAGCGCAGAGCCCTACTGGGAAGCGACGTCAAGATAATCGGCGGGACGATCTATGGTTATCCGCGAGAGTGGAGAGGTTGGCAGGCATTCGGATCCCCAGCCTCCACGCTTCCGCAGCCCGTGGTGGTATTCCTGGAAATCCTGGAGACGCTTGACGGCCCTAAGGGCAATTAAGCCCCAGAGACATGGCAGAGAGCCAGAGAGAGAGCCTCGTTCGGCATTTCTCCGTCTTTGCTATTGCCGGATCACCTCAGCACCAGCAGTACCGCGCCACAATGCAACAGTCTGTGTCGTTGCTGTTGCTGCTGCCTCCAGTATTGAGCGAGTCGAGTCGCCTTTCTTTCTCGGGCCGTTTACTTTCCATCTGCAGAAAGCACACGCCTTTCTTCTGCGACGAGGTCCTGGTTCCCGTGCTGCGACGAAAGGGGGCCCCTTCGATTCTTCGAGGGGAACCCCTCGTTACAGTATCAGAAACACGTTTTCATTCTTTCTCTCTCGTCGAGGACGCGCACCACGTTTCTGTCCATTCTGGCGTCTTCGTCTTCTTCTGGGCGGAAAAAGACCCCCAGCCTCGAAGAAAACACCACCTGCGCGGCCTTTGTCCCGCAACGGCGCCCCAATAGCTTTGCAACCAAAGCAAGACAAACCTCAAAGGTCCATCCCGAGACAGTATCGAGCGGCGCTTGTGGCTGACTCCACCCCGTTTACCTCTGGCTGAACGCTCGCAACTTGGTTCGTCGTGGGCGTAAATAGGTACCTCGCAGGTCTGCACCAAAAGCTTACCGTTTTGCTTGGCTCCGTTCACGCCACATCCCAGCCATCTCCGATGTGCTGCCCAACCTGCCTGGTTTTTCCATCTTTCGCTGCTACATGGACATTATGGCGCTCTGGTTGCGCCGCCGTTTGGGCGAAAGCAACTGATACCTTTTTCGAGCAGGAAACCTGGTCGAGGATGAGAGAATGACAGACGTCTCGAGCCAGCGCTCGAGCTGTTCCCTTCCATCCACATCCCGAAGTACCTACATGCATTACGATTTTCCTTTTTCTTGCTGGTCGCCTCTCTTTTTTTTGCAAAATACCCTGTTCTGCGTCTGCCTACAGGAGGGTGATCCCTTCCGTCCAGTCAGCTTACATGCTTCTAAGCCTCTTGACGTCAAAACGCGCCGGGGATCTTCTCCCCCCACGGCACATCATCAGTCCCCGTCGTTGCTCTCAAGTTACCCTGCCCATCATCATACCTGCAGCACCGTGGTTCGTATCGGAGCCTCATCGGGTGCTATTCCTCGTGCCCGCCAAGGCTCTATGGCAGCCTAGGGCTGAGCGGCCAGTCCGTCGTAAGGACGATGGCACGCGAAGGACGAGGGGCAAGCAAGTGCTGCTGCTGCGCGATCCGAAAGGCGGGATGGATGGATGGATAGATGGATGGATGGGGCACCGTCTTTGGTCCGCAGTCGTCCCGTTTTCTCAAACCCCTTCCCACGATGAGGCAGGTTGACTATCCAGTCCGTCCACCACCCCGCCGCCAGGCTGTGCCGTGCGGGTTCTCTACCTTCTAGCGGATTTCTCATTAGACTCTATTCTAGGTACGGAAATGGGTCGACCCATACGTGAACTCTTGGCTTGGGCCCAGCTTCAACTTTGACCGTCAACTGTTCCATGTTTCCCTGTTCAAACCTATCTCCGTTGCGTCCCAAGTTTGGGTCATATAAGTCGTCTTTTCCCCCTCCCCTTCTACCCAACCTCTCGACTCTACTTCATCCTACATCCAGCACTCACAGCCAATATTAATCAAGCATCTTGTAGCTTAATATCTACTCACGTCCGAGTCCCCCAGTCTCACTGACATCTCATCCTTCCCTGTCACTCAACCTCCCCCTACTCATCAGCCAACCGATACCATGCATTTCTCAACTGTTGTTGGCGCCGCTGCACTGGCTACCCTCGCCAACGCAAGGTACGTTCCCGCTCACCCTTCTTGGCCTCGGACACAGACATGAAACTAACATCACTCTCACAGCCCTCTCGTCCGCCGTCAAGGTCCCGCCGTCGGCCAGGTTATCTCCAAGTGCACACAGAACGGCGTCGTCGCCCTCACCTTTGACGATGGCCCCTTCACCTACACCTCCCAGCTGCTCGACACCCTCGCCGCAAACAACGTCAAGGCCACCTTCTTCGTCAACGGCAACAACTGGGGCAACATCGAGACGGCACCCGGCCCGGACAACATCCGCCGCATGGAGGCCGAGGGCCACCTCGTCGGTTCCCACACCTACTCCCACCCGGACCTGAGCACCCTCTCCTCGGCGGACCGCATCTCTCAGATGACCCAGCTCGAGGACGCAACCCGCCGTATTGCCGGCTTCGCGCCCAAGTACATGCGCGCGCCGTTCCTCTCCTGCGACGCCGCGTGCCTGAGCGATATGGCCAGCCTGGGCTACCACGTCATCGACACCAGCCTCGATACGAAGGATTACGAGAACGACACCCCCGAGACCACGCACATCTCGGCTGAGAAGTTCAACAACGAGCTCAGCGCCGACGCCGCGGGCAACAGCTACATTGTTCTCTCCCACGACGTCCATCAGCAGACTGTCGTTTCTCTGGTGCAGAAGATGATCGACAACCTCAAGTCCAAGGGCTACCGCGCCGTCACCGTCGGAGAGTGCCTCGGCGACGCTCCCGAGAACTGGTACAAGGCCTAGAGTCTCTGTGCCTCGTGGTGAAAGTTCGTGAGAAGAGTGAGAATTGGGTAAAAATGGCATGGAGCATCGCATTGAGGATTTCTGGACAAGGTTTCGTTGGATTACACTTGCTTGGTTCCGCCGGCTATACGTACATACACACATGGGTGGATATACCAGGGACACCCCATCGGCGCACGTCATTTCGTGGAGATACCAATGTTTAATCAAATTACTATTACCTCGTATAAGTCTTTCAGCGTGTTTGCGTCGTGCATCAGTCTTTAACCCCCGGCCACTCATCAGTTTCTTCCCGCCCGGGCTGATGGTCTCAATTCCCGTGTAAGTCAGATAAAGCAGCCCCGCCACCACGTTGTCTTCACAACCTATGACTACACCCGCCTCGAGACCACAACCCCGACACCTCTGCATCTCACTCTACGCAATTCATTATGAGACCATCGTGTACCGTTTCACTTCCATCGATGAGTAGGCAATCATCTCAGTTCGCTTCGGTCCGGTGGCTCAACTGATAAGGCGTCTGACTTCGATTGATTTCGCGAATAGAGAAATCCCCGTGGATTTTCGGAATCTTATCAGAAGATTGCGGGTTCGAGTCCCGTCTAGATCGAATTGATCAAGTACTGCCTGGTGTCAGCATATGCGTGACTTGAGTTCTTCTTTTTTTCTTTTCTTTTAACGCCAGCGAAGGATCGTATGGTCGTGAGGGTTTAATTAGACTTTTAGGTTCTGATGGTGTTGCGGGAAGTCTCATGGTTGACCGACTTTTGCCTTTCTTTGTCTTGCACATTCTGTCAGACCGAAAAGACGCCCCTCAATGTAATTATGTACCGTACACACATATACTAAGGTAGTCCTAACCTCTCGCCTGGATCTTACTCTTGAGCGTGTTGAGCCCACGATTCCACGAAAGCCCTCGGGGCACGCCGGTATTATGCATAGGAAAGGCAAGTAAAAGACGAGAAATCAACAGAATAGTATTTGATGCGCAGTCAGGAAATATAGCGCATTAGACCTTGACCTCTGAGCTTCTTCATCTGAAGTTGCTCACATGCCGATCGCAGAGCTAATGCGCTGTTCCTGGTGGCTTGGAAGGAATCTGACCCGTCAGGATCCCATGTGCTCTCTCACACATGTCTCACGTCGCTCGAATCAGCTATATCTCGAGCGTGCTTACCATAAGGCTCTGACGCTAGCTGCTTCCGCCCGCTCATATTTTCTGTGTGTTGTGATTTAGGATAGGCGTAGAGAACCCGAAGATGACAGGCTACTGGGGCCTTTCTCTTAGTACCTACAAAGAGTGAGTCAAAATACTCAAGATTTTCGCCAAGACACAGGTCAGTAGATTGAAAGATTATCTGAAAAGAACTTGAGCATGGTCAAGAGATTAGTCTGTATCAAATGCCAGATTATACAGCATAAGTTCCTTCGAGATATTCTTCGCAAGGGAATTCGTTCTCTCCTTCTTGCCACTTAGCAGGCATGCAGTGCAGTATTGAGTTGTCGTTCTGCTCGTCAAAATTGACATGGAACATATCCAACTTGACGTGGTTCTCGCGTTGTTCCTCTCTAGGATTTAGCCCGTTGACTACTATGTTCCAGACTTGTTTATGACGGTCATCGTCTCTCCTGTGCGGCCCTTCGCGACGGTAAAGTTTCATTGCTTCAATATACCCCACAAACGTAGCCACCCACCAGAGATTAGGCCGGTCTTTTCGTCAGTTACTTACTCAATTTGGTAATCCTCAACCTTGATGAGCTAATGGTCGGGCTTATACAGTCTGCCTGGTGCGACAGGAACGTCTACGGCGGCCCAAGACTAACTGGGAGCCCTATAGGCGATAGGCGATGAGCCAGAAGGAGTAGACACAGTAGGCACTCTCCAAAGGAGCTCCGATTCTAGGTGGCGACGCCACATGCCTGCGATGTGTTCATCTCCGAGTACCTTCATCACCTCATCAGCTATTGCAGAGAGAGCAATCATTCTGTCGCTGGGGAACGTGATCTTACAGCCAGTGTATGTGACTACGATTTTGGACCAGCAATCGTATGCTTTTCGTGTGCTTTTCGTCTTTCCGCGGGCTCCGTTGTCGCCAAGCTGAAGATCCTCGATACGCGGACCTTCGTAGGGATCCTTGACAGGAATTTCCGGGGGCTATATCTCCGCCGCACGACCTGACCGGCAACTCCAAAACACCTCACGCTCGCCGAAAGACACAACACGCCGAGAAAGAAGGAGCTCTTGAAATACCCATGCCCTGGTGTTGACATGGGCTCGCCTGGCCTCCTCCTTCCAGAAATTCGCATCGACCAGATAACATGGATTTGTCTGACCTCCGAAGGTGTAGTGGTTAAGTGGTGGTCGGCAAGAATCGACGTCCCGCCTGTCAAATAGGGAATTTGAACTGTCCAGTCCAGACAGAGCCGACAAGTTGCAGAATGTGTGAGAATACACCTTATCCATCAAGGTCGACTCGTGTCGCTAGTCGGCCAAGCCATCTCCCGTTTGAATGATGCAGAGAGCATCTATCCAGAGATAAGGTGAGATAACGCACACCAAGTTTCCGAACAAAACAAGCTGCATCTCGATAAAGACGTGGTAGGCTCTCTGGAGGAATGCCTTCCAAAAGCTGGACGGCGTTGCTCTTGGTCAGAATGAGACTGTTTGCGCTTCCCCAACAATGGCTTAAAGTCATATAGGGGCCATGAGGAGTTTCATCGCCAGTGTTAATAATGCGGCAGACAAAACTCGATGTATCCAAGGGACCAATATCAATATGAGGCGCGTTGGATACCACTTTGGATCAGTGGCAACTTCTCTGCACTTCTCATGATTTACTTTGCAATCTTGGAACCACGAATCCCCGTGAGCAAAAGTCTGCTGCGATGAAGTTCCTTCAGAATATGTCTTGAGTGAATAGGCTTGAGAGGAGCCTACAAAGCGGTTAGTAAAACCCGTTTTGAGCCTGAGTGACAATCTTCCTAATACAGACTAATAAGATAGACATGATATTTCTCTTCAGTCTTTGAAATGAAATGGCGTTCCCGTCAGGTTTCCTATATACCGATGCAGGGAATGAGTCTGGAAGATGCTCCCTGGTAATACCGCCGTAGTCTGGGAAAAATCTATAATGGGAAAGCTTGTGGATTGGCGACAACTCGAAAGAACTCTTCACCCTCATGTCCAGGCTTCTCGTAGGCCCGTCAGGTGTGTGTGATTGACATCGGACTGAGGATCCATCTTTGGTGATCTATGCCGGGGTCACTCCCAGTTTCCACGCCTACGCTGTGAGAAGCAATTGGAGAATTAGAAGCTTCACCGCGGATCCAGTTTCTTGCGTCATGAGGCAGAATTGCCCACAACCGATTACATGCAAAACAACCGGCTTTAACGGCACACTCGAGAATCCGGTAGGTTTCGTGATGAGATGTAGACCACATTTCTTCTCTTGTCATCATAGAGTCTATGAATTGTTGGCAAGCTGAGCACAGCATCTTCCAGGCTTGAGACCAAGGGGAAAATACTGCCTTGTGACTGGAAACGACAAGTAGTAACTCAATGGCCAGTAAGTGATAGAGCTATGAAAAGGTAAAAGACTATCAGTGGTAGTTGATTCAACAGAAACGGTAAGGCTTTATATATGTAACTGGCCACGGGTCGACTCACGGGTGACGGCCGCATACATCACTTAGCGCCGGCAATCAACAGGTTGATAGGCAGGTTGCATGAAACAAACCAGAGGCGGGCGTCTGAGTTGGCTATTGATTGGTTCTAGTACGAATAGTTCATATTGATGGACGGGCAGAACAACTTTCTTGCTTTGAAATGCGCCTAAAGAAGACATGACGAAGCTACCCTCTCTTGCTTTTCTCTTTAATCGGTGCCTCTACTGTTCACACATCTCATCCAGTATACACTGTTCACTATCATACTTTCAGTAATTCCTCGAGCTCCAATGACAGGTACGCATGAGTCCTGGTTAAGGCTTGGCCAATCTCGTAGCTAACTATCGAAAGACACTGCTGTGCTTGTACCGGTATATTGCAGACCTTGTTTGAGCACAACAATTGATTCGTGTAAGATTGTATTGGACCATGAGTCTCAAGCATCATCTAAGACTTGATCTCACGAGCAGATGTCCTCGAGACTCCTTTCAGAGTGTGCCGGTCTGTCCACCTGCAGTACAAGTGGCTACCTCTCTTCCCTGGTTGAGAACAGACTGCTCGTTGGGAGGAATAAACTGAACGCAGCGCCCGAATCGATCGCATTCGCCATCCTTGGCGCCTACAGAGCATGCCGTCCCAACATTTCCAAACAGAGCGCTGCCCTTTCCGTCGACGAAACTGCGCGGCACAGAAGCTATAATTTTCACGTGGTTAGCGAATTGTAACAAAGTATACCTCGTGTACTATGCAGGCGGTTTAGAATGGGATAGGAACTACCCACCTGCGAAAGCGTTGCCAACGGCAAAGGCGGCGGCGGTCAAGAAGATGGCGGAGAACTGCATGGTGGTGGCGATAAATGTAAATTGACGGAAAGTCGAATAAATATGTTGATTATAATAGTTAACGTGCACCTGGCAGCAGTAGAAGAGAAAAGACGGAATGCGATGATTGGAAGTTGTTTGCTGTTTGCTGAAGATCAATGTTGAATAATCGGAAATGAGTTTCCTTTATACGCAGTCGCGTCAAGGCAATATGACCCTCGTGCACTATAACATATGCATTCTAAGCTTATTTCTTACCTTCTTTTCCTTCCTCAGTCCTCGTGGAGTTGCAGTGCTGACTCCCTCAAACGAGGTCGAGACGCCTGACATCCGCGACAGTGGGTTTGGCATACTGCTGGATGCTTGTTCTTCTATAGACAAGGGGTGGATAGGGCGATGGGCCCGTTGTTCAGCCTCTCGGTTTCGGTGTTAATCAGCGCAAGGAGCTGGCTCTTCTGGGTGATCGCTTGCTCTTCTGGGCTAAGCTACCGCCTAATCCTTCTTTTTCGTTCGTTTGATGATTTCTTGGCCCCGGATCCGCGGCAGACATGGTATTGGCGCGGGGAGCCCTACCGACGGGATGAATTCAGCCAAGGGCAACATGGATTCCTGAAACACCAAGTCTCCAGTTCACGCGCTGCCATAGGAGCTTGGTCGTACGTCTGGCAGCGAACACCTGGCCAGTAATTGGACCGTGCTGTTCAGAGATTTGTGACAATAACTTGCTGAGTGGCACTCTAGGCGGGTATGCCGTAGGCGAGTTGTGGCATGACTGGGACGGGTGTAGACAGCGCCTCCCTACCTCCCTACCATCATCTAGACTCTGTAAAATATGGCACTGCTCCAAGGGGCTGTCTGATACAGGTTGTCTTGCGTGTGTCAAAGCGTTTCAAAATCCGGACGAAGCGGTGGGCTCGTAGCACGACACGAAGGGCTTATTTCTGGCAGCTGCCATCCAATATTATGCGCTCTATGTGCCTAGCTTTCTAAGAGCTTATACAGTCAAAATAAGGGACGAAATCAAACTCTCAAGAGACAGGGCATTGATTGTGAGGTTGTCGCATAGGACGACGGTGACCGATGGAACCCCGATGGCTTCGATGCATCGAGTCAATGGCTACATGCACGAAATCATTATTTTTCTCTTTTGGTGATGTCGTGATGACTTATCTGCTAGACAAGATCCATTGCTGCATATCCTTAGTGAACAATGGTTATAGATCAATACACCTAGTGATTCCACTAGGCCGTGTTGCTGTATCATCTCTTCCATGCTGGGCTCCTACTACTGGAGTTAAGACTTCACGTGGTGAGACGGTGTTGATAACAAGAAATAAATACAGTAAGTCCTTCAGAATACAGGGTTTGCCTTACCATGGGGTGCTCCTTCGATTAAGTCAATTTTGTATGCAGTTGGAAGACTGACACACTTGTGTTGGTTTCGTCTCTCCGTGGATCCCGCGGGTGCCAAACGAATTTTAGCAGATCAACACCCGCCGGCAGCCCACCTAGGCATCGGCAGGCAGTGTGAGCGGTAAGAGTACGGAGCACACCAGGACAAGATGCTGCTTAATATGGTTTCTTGTCACTATACTATCTTGTCAAAGTTAAAATGTACGTAGACAACGACTTTCTCCCTGTCAGCGCATAGTTACATTAGGCTGTCACATAGAGTATGAACAATCATTCATGGTCAACCCGTACAGGTACTTAGTAGCTAAAGCATACACTGCGACTCTCCCAATCCAACACCACAGGGTCCCAAAGCTGCTTCTCAACGGTCACGGAGGACTCGCCAAAGACAACATTACAGTCGACAACATGCCGTTGGTCGTTCGTGATACGACCCGTCGACGCCATCGTATTCACCCACTCCATGATGACTAGGAATGCACTTGTATCCCAAAGCCCGTCACGCCGAGGGAAGTCCTTGAAGAGTTTGACGATAGCATGTCTCACTCCAGGCATTGTGCACATGAGGAACACAGTACACAGAGGCCAAGTCGGGCCGTCCTCGATCGTGAAAATCTCTGTTGCCTCTGCACCATTCCGGTTCTCCGCATCGTGGACCTCGAGGAGCTGTCTGCTCATTGATACAATGTCCATGAATGCGGGCGTGATGCGCTTGGTGTCCTCCACATCGGTCCAGCCGGCACAGCGTATCACGCTCCAGAGGTACAAGTAGTGTATTCTGAGGCTGATGGCCTTATAGTAGCTCTTGAAGTCCGCCTCCTTTTCGGTCTCTGCTTTGACGGCGAGCGGTTGGAAGGCAAGGTGCCAGGCGTCGGTGAAGCGTACAAAACTCCGGACGCGTGCTTGCGAGCTCGGCGAGGTGTACTCAAGCGGCGGCTTCTCTGGTAATGGAGCGGTAGATCCCTCAACTATGAACCCAGTGTATAGCGGTGCATGGTGCTCGACGTGGTGGCGAACGACGTTCCACCAGCGGCGGGCAGCCTCCAGCGTTTCAAACTTCGTGGGCATTTCGTCGACCGCGTACCGCGTCTTGCGTCCGCGGCAACACCACGGTACTCGGGTCTTTGTCTCTTTCGGGTGCGCTCCGCCGTGAGTCCAAGATTGGAGACTCAGATACTGGAAGCTAGTCATTACTTCTTCTAGCAGGGGGCTCGAATCCGCGCCTTGGCTTGGTGGGCACTGGTCAAGGATGCGGGACCCGTGGTTGATGTGGTTCAACCCAGCTGCCTTGTTGCCTCGAAAGCACTCGAAGATGATGAACAAAAGACACGCTGTCAACGTACGTTCGAGAGACATTGGTGTTGAGTAGAGGATGTTCATCGATTTCGTGTAGTGGAACAGAGCATCCGAGTCGAATCTACCTCGCCCAAGGAGACGTTGTTCTCGCGTAGTGGCACCTAGAGCCGCGGCGCCTACGGCCAAAGCTGCATGTTTAATGGCTGGGTCGTTCCATGAGAGTTGCGGGATAATCTGTGTGAGCAGATCGGATCGGAACAGAATGGCGGTGTTGGTGAAGGATAGCCAGTAGTCGAAGTGGTCCTTCTCCAGCTGGCTCGAGAAGACGAGAGTCGAGTAGTTTGGCTCAAGAAGAACATCGAGGACTCTGCTCTTTTCTTGTTTCGGTTTTGGATACAGTAACCGATGCTTGGGTGGTAACTTGGAGGGCTTAGTTTTTGTTTCTTTGTAGCCTCCACAGTGGCCTTGGTACTTCAAGCAAGCCGCGCACGCTGGTCTGCCCTCGTCGCACTTGACGCGGCGAAGCCTAGAGGTGGCATGAGTATCACTACTACAATTGAGTAAGGCAGATCCTCTATATGTGACTTACTTGCAGGTGACGCAGCCACTGCGAACCTTTGGCTTGCTGGCTCGGACTTGTTGTGGTTTAGAGTCGAGGGCAAACTTTGTGATCATAGGGCGAAGATCATTCATGATGACTCGAATGGACAATCTGTGGCTGGATACTTTGCTGCGCTTAGCTGGTTTAACGCATGGTATGTGGTGCAAAAGTCACTCATTATATGCTAGTATCATAGTTTCGAGATGAAGAACGATGTCAAATAAAAGGCGAAATGATAGCCGGGATGGTCATCCTGAAGCGGGTGATGTTAACATTTTCGGTCGACCGGTAAGGGCTTGCCAGGGTTACCTCCGGCATAAGCACTAGCGCACGTCTGGCCAGATCAAACCATATTACCCTACAGACACCTCGATAGCAACGCTGCAACGGGTCTCTTTTATTTTGCTGCCTGGCTCGGTTGCGATCCTTCGAAACCCGGACCTGATTTTCGTCCAACGGCCTTTAAACCCGCTTTGGTACAACACCTCTCATAGCTGTGCTGAGATCCGGATCAGGATATATTTTTCATATTAGCGCTTAGTTCCGTTATTTCCACGTTGTCAGATTTCCGACCCCCATGTCGACTCTGCTAAAGACAACAAGATCAGAGTCCGAACTGTGTTGGGCCAGAGTTGTATCCAATACGATCCTATTAAGCGTGAGCCAGTAGATGGACATTAGCCTAACCAGACGTCTTTGGCCTCAACATGTGACGATCCTGGTTCCCTCGATAACGGCCGTAAGTATGTCATATCTCAACGGCCAGCTAAGCTGATGACAAACCGACGAGAAGGAGTCAACTCCGGGATCTGCCCACTGATGATTCGTGAGCTTCAACCGCGGCATGCCGAACAGTGGATTCAGATACTGACTTTGTTTAGGCAGCTATCACGAACCTTGCTATTCTAATATCTGTCTTTCTACTCGTTATTCATGCAGTTCATTGCGCCAGCCAATATCAATCCAGCTCGATCATCAACGGCCGCAGCAGCAGTAGCAGCCATGAACTAGCCTTGTGATGATGGCCCGCCTGGTGCCCTGGGCCTGGGTAACGTACCCAGTCTCCAAGCACTAGTCGCACTCCTTTCACTCCTCATGAGTTTTCATCGACTTCTCACGAACTTGGTGTGCCTTCCGTTCGCCACCGTGGCGCCCCTGGTCCCGTCGGCTGGGTTGACCTTGTAGATGTTGACGTGGGTGAACGCCAAGCTGCCTCCGACCTTCTCAATCTTGCCCTCAATCTCAATTTCGTCTCCCAACTTGGCGCCTGAGAGGTAGCTGATGTTGATATCGACGCTCACACCCGTTGCCTCACGGAGGTCCCATGCCGCGATCGCCAAGCCGCCAGCCCAGTCCACAATGGTCGCCGAGACACTGCCGTGGATGCTTCCTGACGAGTTCAAATGGTTCGCGGTGACGGGCAGGCGTGCGATGATGAGTCCCTTGGAGGCGTGAGTGAGCTTCAGGCCGGGGTTAAAGAGGAAGGCGTAGATTGGGGATGCGTTGCAGCGGGTTGAGATGTAGTTCTCGATGTGAGCGAAGGTGGCGGGGTCTGATTGCGCAGAGGGGCCGGTGGCCGGTGGTGGTTGAGATGGCGTGGAAGACATTGTGAAGCGTTTGTAGTTTCTGACTGCAGGCTGTGATAATGACAGAATATGAGTTCAGTTACAGAAGTGATTCGCGATGCCGGAGGTCAACGACACTGTTGAGTTGTTAAGTGACACAATCCGAGAGCGAAGGCACGTGCGCCAAAGATTTCTTTGCGGTCGGGCGGACTCCGTCCGAAGTCGGCCCCGAAGAACCCACTTTTGCCGTCGGGGCGGAAGAAATGCATCAGTGGCTCTGGATGATGCTCAGCTCTGAACGCCGTAGCAGATATCAAGTGGAGAGACTTAGAGATTCTTTATTCGAGGAAATCGCTATGAGATGTCCTCACATATTTGCAGCAAGTGGCCAGGAAGTCAATGGAATGCAACCAGCAAGAACGGTTAAGGCGAACCGTGTTCTCCGCAAAGCTCACCAATCATGGGAAGTGAGAAATGCCAGCACCCACAGCCAAATACATGACGGCTTGGTCATGCAACTGGCAGAACGACGATTGACGAAGCGACATTGAAACTTGATATCAGAAACACGGCCCGTCGGCAATTACGACCAATGAAGACAACACAAGGTGAAAGACGCCACAGCAAACCCGGATAAACAATCGCGACTGCAAAACGAGTAATGTAGTCGGGACGATACTCGAAGTGACGACATTCGCATGGCGTTGCTTCTATCCAACTTGGGCTGGCGTCAGTTGCAGATTTGCCCTAGCCGTTGTGTGGAACAACTAGCAAGATGATCATTGGGCCGGTTTCGCCAGCGTGGAGCCAGTTCCGTGTCAGCAAGCAGGGGTTCCTTCGAGGCCGTTATGTCCGGCCAGGTCGAGATGTCGGTTTAGACCCACTCGGCCAGCCGATGATTGTACGCTGCCGTTGACCGATATTTGTATAAGTGAAGACGATGGTCGTGGGTTGCTGGGAAACTCGATGTTTGTAAGGCCATGAAGTTACGCTGCTTCTTGTAATTTCTGCTAATAAGATGGCAAAATCAGAAACGGCCCCAGCAACCTTTGCAGTTGACGAAAACGGCGCTGAAGGGGCGAGCGTTCCAGTCGTCGTTGACTGGGAAGGAGATGACGATGCTGAGAAACCAACAAATTGGTCAGTGTCGAAGAAGTGGATCAACGTCCTTCTCATATCAACACTCACCCTGATCTCGTAAGTTTCTATCATTAAGACTCGAAAAGCGGTATTGCCTCGATGTTGACAATCTCTTTCCAAGGCCATTCGGCTCTTCAATGTTCGCACCCAGTACGAGCGAGACAATGAGAGAGTTTCACTCCACCAACGTGGATCTCGAATCCTTCAGTGTTTCCATCTTCGTGCTTGGCTATGCTTTCGGACCTTTGATTCACGGACCTTTGAGCGAGCTTTACGGCCGGCTAATTCTCTACCACATCAACTCCCTCCTCTTTATCCTAGCCAATGTTGCTTGCGCACTGTCAATTTCACTACCGATGCTCATCGTCTTCCGTCTCATCACTGGCCTCGTTGGTTCCTGCCCGTTGGCTATCGGTCCAGCTAGCGTCTCAGATTTGTTCATCCAGGAGGAACGAGGAAAGGGGCTTGCGGTCTGGAACCTACCAGTGCTTTTAGGTCCGGCCATTGGGCCCTTAGTTGGAAGCTACTTGTCGGTGGCTACTGGTTGGCGGTGGAACTTTTGGTTCCTAGCAATTGCGGCATGCACCCACGAGTAACAAGTCAAGATCAACAGGAATTCATAACTAACGAGATGTGCAATAGATGGGAGCGATCTACATCGCTACGCTGCTACTGCTCCGAGAAACTCATTCGCCAACTCTACTAGGACGGAAAGCTCGAAGACTACGTAAGAAATACGGAAACCCGGAAATATCGTCCGTTTTGGTATCCAAAAAGCCCCCGCGGGCCACATTCCTGAACGCAATCATTCGACCGACCAGACTTCTCGTCTATTCACCCATTGTTCTGACTCTCTCTATCTGCGCCGCAGTCAACTACGGCTTCATCTACATCATCTTCACCACCATGACCTCGACATTCATGAGCCGATATGGACTCAGTAAAGGCGATGTCGGCCTTACTTACTTGGGCTTTGGCATCGGAAACATTGTAGGAAACGTAACCCTCGGAGCTCTCTCCGACAAGCTTATGAAAGCCATAGCCGGCAAAGGAGAGATGAAGCCCGAATACCGACTTCCGCCATTGATACCAGGCAGCCTTCTAGTCCCGGTCGGCTTGTTTCTGTACGGCTGGACCTTGCAGTACAACGTTCATTTCATGGTGCCGCTGGTTGGCACCTTCCTGGTGGGAGTCGGTACCATCCTCATTTTCATGTCCATCAACTCGTACTTGGTCGATGCCTTCACCGAGCATGCAGCCAGCGCGGTTGCCGCGAGCACCGTGTTGCGTAGCTTAGGTGGGGGTTTGCTTCCGCTTTGCGGAGGGAAGTTGTACGAAGCTGTGGGTGATGGATGGGGCAATTCGATTCTTGGGTTTATTGGAGTTGCTTTTATCCCTGCCGTATGGTTGTTGTACAAGTTTGGGGAACGACTCAGATTAAAGTCTCGAGTTTAGGCAATGAAAGCTCTTAATTTCTGAAAGCAGAGTCTTCGATGTAATTTTACTGTCTTCGTGATTGAAAGACAACAACAAATCAAGAGGACAAGGTAGTTTAACATAATAGTCTTTCTGCTGTCTGCTGGACTGTGATACTATTGCGTCTTCCTCAGTAGTTGCGAACCTTCCAAGCTGTAATCGTCTTACATGAGGAAACCCAATCACTGTCCTCCTTGAAGGCAACCTACTCAACTTCCCGTACTTCCATGACCCAATCTCGAGCCGTCAGAGCGGCATGGCCATCAAACAATTCGAATTCCAACTCCAAAAGATAAAAGAATTCCAGCAAGATATTCTCAAACTCCCAATCGTTAGAGCCATCCTTTGACACTTGCTTTACAGCGCAACTAATCTGCTAGCTGCATCAACCAATCCGCTGACTTGAGCCGAGTATCGCCCCCAGGCGAGCCGCAAAAACAGAGCCCCCTGGTCCAGCATGCTGTCAGCCAGCAGCCTAAAAGCACAGCGTTCTGCGTCTGGGTATTACCTGAATGTTTCTTCCCGAGCGCCTTTGCCCTCCTCTTCTTCACTTTGAGAGACCGTCTCATTTTGGAGTCGGCCTTTGATGCACCTCTGCGCGACGGCCGTGCTACATCAGTGGACGCGGTAGCAGGGGCCTCCCAGTATTGGCTTTGCGAAGGGGGGCGGTCGAGATCAACGTAGGACAGTTCTCGCTCAATTTCTTCGACACTCTCAGTGCTTTCGGTAGTCTCGGGGGTCGATCCTGTGGTGTGCTTCTCCTTTCGAGTAAATTTCGCCCGCAGGTTCTCGCCAAATTTGGTCGCAACTTCAGGGGGTATGTGCTGCTGAGGCAGGGGAGAGGAATCCGTGTCAGTTGTTTCGGCCTCATCGTCATCAGCAGCGCAAGCATCGTAGTTGCGAGGCTCGTCTTCTGCTATCTCGAATCCGTCATACACAATGTCGTCTTTGCGGCCCTCGGCTTCGGCAAGGTGAACTAGCAGATCCTCCTCCTCGCTGTCGTAGTCGCTGCTGAGACTGGAGACAGCAAGATACTCTTGAGAATGAAGAGCGGAAAGTTCCTTATTCACCGGTCGTGTTCTGGGCCTGTGAGGTACCGAGCCATCAAGGATCAGGTTGTTCTCCTAAGAATGAACCGTGAATTTGATGCCCGCCGTCTGGCCCAGCTTTCTGACGAACGGGATGCACTGGCCGGGGCGCTGAGGCGTACCGCACGGCGCTCTGCTGATATGGATTTCGTAATGAGGCGCTAGACCTTGGTATCGGAGGCGTTTGCGAAGTCGATTCAAGTCCTTGAGAGAGATGTCGTGGCTGTCTGCTGGCTTGATATCGTGGGCGAACACCATCGCATAGACCATGTATGTGGCGAGTTTCTTCTCGATATGACCTGCTCTCCAATTACCGCAATTATCTGCCGTCATCGGCTTGCCGGCGCCATCGTAGAAGGTTCGAAGGTTGAGACCGAGGTGTCGAGCTATTCTCTTCACTCGTCGGTGCCATCGCGCATGGTAGAGAAAGTTGTCTTTCGACTCCCGGAGAGGAATGAATGATGTACCGCTCACAGCGAGCTTGAGAACATCCAATGAGGAATCTGGACCCCTAATGGCGATGAAGCCCAAGGTTTTGGTGGCGAACTTGTGCTTCACTTGGGCGTCTCCTTCCTCGCCCCGATACTCAGCGTTTCCGATACACTTCAGCACTCGAAAGTCGGTCCCGGACTGCTTGTAGATGAAATCGCCTTGTTCAGTTTCCCAAAGCGCGTACTCGGTATTCGCTTGTTCGTCACTGAGCTGCGTTCGGCCTGAATCAATTTCTTGCAGAGCATCGAAGTGGGGGCGGCCGTCCACCATTCTCTTGAAGAAATAAATGTTCCTGGGCGACGGGGTGGAGGAATCACCTTCGGTAACAGGCTCTCTCTTGACGGCGACCTCGATGTCGGTGTGTTCCGGCTTCTTCGAGCCTGGGGTGACAATGCGATCGATCGTGGGGGGCAGACTTTGGCGGTGGACTTCAACACTAGGTACCGCAACATCACATGATCTTCTCTCTAAAACGATGACTGAGTGAGATGTAAGCCAAGTACATATGCGTGGCAAAGGGATATGTCTTACCCGGACCAGGAGAACTCGGCTCCTCTCCAGTGCTGGCAGCACCTTGAGCGGTGGAACGAACAATGTAGTTCATGCTGTTTGCTTGGTTCGGCAAGTGTAGTTGAGCAGGAAGCTTAATTATTTGGTGATAACTTATCCGTCCCAGTAAGATGAATTGGAGTTGGAGAAGGGGCTCAAACTGTGAGAAAAGCTTGTCCTCATGTAGTCTTGCGTCAAGTCAGTGGTGTAATCAGGATACTCAGGAAAAGCAGTGAAGGAGAAGTTCGACGCATCGCGAGCGCGACAATTGGAAGAACTAGGCGCGGGAAGGAAGGT